GTGAATAATTTTGCCACTTACCCTTCTCACCCCGGGCATACTCTGACTCAATGCATACGGTAGTTCTGAAGACTCTACGTATCTAAGAACCTAAATCCACAAATCAGGAAAGCTAGTATACTATCCTTGGTAGGAGCGTTGGAAGCCTTAAGTGCCTCTGCAATATGCCCCTGCCCTTCCCGATGAACATTTTTAAAATAGCTTTACTAAGAACTTACAGGATATAAAATTCATCCATTGCAAGTTACAATTCAATGATTTTTAGTAAATTTAGAGAGTTGGTCTCTCTCCACAAGAACATTTCCATCAGCCAAAAAAGTTCCTTCCCCCTCATTTGCACTTAATCTGGTCTTCCACACCAGGCCCTAGGAAACCACTAGTCCGCTGTCTCTCAATTTACCTTTTCTGGACATTTCAGATACATCGAATCATATACTGTGCGGTGTTCCATCTGGCTTCTTTCGCTGAGCATGTTTTTGAGGTCCATTTGTGTTGCACCATGTTACCAGTTTGCTCCTTTATGTTGCTGAATAGTATCCCATTGTGTGGATATGACATATTTAGCCATTCACCAACTGATGGACATTTATGCTGCTTCCAGTTTAAAGTCATTATGAATAATGCTATGAATGTTCGCCACATGCCTTTGTGTAGACAAGTTTTCATTACTTTTGGATATATTCCTAGGAGTGGAATTGCTAAGTTACAAGATAAATTTATGTTCAACTTTTTAAGAAAACTGTCAGACTTACCCAGACTAGCCTACACCATTTCACATTACCATCAATAATGTGTGAGGGTTCCAGTTTCTCTATACCCTCACCAACATCTGGTATATAATAGTCACTGTTGCTTTAGTCTGCATTTCCCTAACCAATGATTTTGAACATCTTTTCATGTTATTAGCTATTCTTACATCTTCTTTGATGAAACGTGTTCAAATCTTTCACCCATTTTTCAAATGGGGTTGTCTTCATATTATTGAGCTGTTAAATTCTTCATATTAATGAGCTGTTAAATTCTTTACATATTCTGATTTCCCTTATTAACATGGGTCACAACTATTTTCTCCCAATCTGTATCTTGTCTTTTCATTTTCTTAATGTCTTTTGAGGTGCAAGTTTTTAATTTTGATAAATTCCATTATCACTTCTTTTTCATGGATCCTACTTTTGGTCTTGTATCTAAGAAATCTTTGCTTAACCCAAAATCATGAAGAATTTCTAAATTTTCTTCTAGAAGTTTTAAAGTATTAGCTCTTACATTTACGTCCATGATCCAGTTTGAGTTCATTTTTTGTGTATGGTGTGAGGTAAAGGCCTAAGTTTATTCTTTAAAGATTTAATTTTTAAGTAACATCTATACCCAACGTGGGGCTCAAAGTTACAACCCCATGATCAAGCGTCACATGCTCTGAGCCAGCCAGGCGCCCGTCTAATTTTTTACATACACATATACAGTTATCCCAGGATGATTTAGACTTTCCTTTCTCCACTGATTGCCTTAAGATCTTTTGTCAAAAACCAAGTGACACAGATGTAAGGATTTCTGGACTCTTAATTCTGTTTCATTATCTATATTCCTATTGTACCAATACCAAATTGTCTTGATTTCTATAGTTTATAGTAAGTTTGGAAGTCTGATAGTGTTAGTCCTCCCACTTTGTTATTTTAAAAAATTGTTTTGCAGGGAACCTGGGTGGCTCAGTCGGTTAAGCATCTGCCTTCAGCTCAAGTCATGATCCCAGGGTCCTGGGATCCAGCCTCTTGTCAGGCTCCCTGCTCCTTGGGGAATATGCTTCTCCCTCTCCCTCCTCTCTCAAATGCGCTCTCTCAAATCTTTTTTTCTTAAAGATTTTATTTATTTGACAAGGAGCAGGAGAGCACAGCTGGTGGGAGTGGCAGAGGGAGAGGGAGAAGCAGGCGCCCTGCCCAGCAGGGAGCCCGATGCGGGGTTCGATCCCAGGACCCTGGGACCATGACCTGAGCCGAAGGCAGTCGCTTAACCAACTGAGCCACCCAGGCGCCCCTCAAATAAAATCTTAAATAAAAATATTGTTTTGCTACTCCAGACCCTTTGCATATCCATATCCATCTATGACCTGCTTATCAATTTCTACACAAAAATGCTACTGGAATAGGGTTTTTATTGAACTTACAGATCACTTTGAGAATTGGCATCTTGACAATACAGTCTTCCAGTCCATGAATGTGAAATGTCTCTCCTTTTACTTAGATCAGGATGTTTCAACCTTGGTGTTATTCAACCCTGGTGTGGCCAGATAATTTATTGTTCAGGCTGTCCTATGCATTGTACAATGTTTGGCTGCATCTCTGGCCTCTACTACTAGATCCCAAAAGCATCCCTTCCCCCAGGTTGTGACAACTAAAAATGTCTCCACACATTGCCAAGTATCTCTCGGTGGGAACAATCACCCCTGGTTGAGAACCTCTAATTTAGATCATCTTTAATTTCTCTCAGCAATACCTTTTGTTGTACATTGTAAATATCTTGCACTTTTGTTAAATTTATTCCAAAGTATTGCATTCATTTTAATGCTATTGTGAATGTAATTAATTTCATTTCACATGTTCTTGTTATAGGAATACAACTGATTTTTGTATATTTATCTTGTACCTTTTAACATTTATCGGTTCTATTTATGTGTGCATGTACGTATTCCCTGGAATTTGTCTATGTACAGGTTCATAATATCTGTGAATACAGATTTACCTTTTTCTTCCCTCTACTAACTGCACTGCTTAGAATCTTCAGTACAATATTGAATAGAAATGGCAAGAGCAGACATCTTTGCCTTGCTCCAAATCTTCAGCATCTTTTTCAGTCCAATCCCTTTTTCAAGATGACCAAGTTCCCTTCTATTCCTAGTTTGTTAAAATGCTGATTTTATACATATACTTTTTTGGTACCTATTGGGATAATTGTGTTGTTTTTACCTTTTATTCTACTCATGTGATGTTCTTTAGTAATTAACATTTGGATGGTAAACTGATCTTGCATTCCTAGGATAAATTCTACTTGGTCAGGATGTAGAATGTTACCAGATTTGCTTTGACACCATTTTGTTGAGGACTTTCGTGTCAATGTTCATGGGGGAAAACTCGTAATATTGTTTTTGTGATCTTTCTCTAATTTTGGTTTAAGTGTAATACTGGTTTTAGAATCATTTAGGAAGTGATCCTTCCTTCTCTAGCTTCGGAGTTTGAGAATTGGGAAAGCCTCTTCTTTAAATATTTGGCAGAATTTAATGTGAAGCCATCTGGCCCTGGACGTTTCTTCGTGAGAAGACTATTAATTCAACTCGTTATAGACCTATTCAAATGTTCTAGTTCTTCTTAAATCAGTTGGTAATTCGGGCCTTACTAGAAACTTGTCCATTTCACCTAAGTTGGCATAAAATTGTTCGTAATATTCCTTTATAATCCTTTCCAATTTCTGTAGAATCAGTAGTGATGTGTCTCCTGAGTTTGGTAATGTCTTTTGTTGGTCTCCTACCCTGAACCATAAAGTGTTCTTAGTAATGGAATTCATTCATGGCAGAGCAACAAGACTGAACATCTAAGTGCGTGACATCATATGGACTGCATACAAACCCTAATCTCACTACCTCCAAGGTTACTGAATTTGAGAGAATTATGGTTGACTTGTGTTTCCACGAGTTAGGCATGAAATCCTAATCCCTAGTCCCTCAGAATGTGACCTTATCAATAGCATCACTGCAGATGTAACTAGTTAAGATGTTATACTGAAGTAGGATTGGCCCTTAATCCAATATGATCAATGTAAATTAGTCATGTGAAGACACACAGGGAGACCACATGACCACAAAGGTAGAGAGAGGAGTTCCGCAGCTGCAAGCCAAAGAATGCCAAAGATCATTGCAAATCACCAAAATTATCTGACAGGTTTCAGAGTGAACGTGGCCTAATTTCAGACTTCTCCACAACTGTTGTTTCTGTTGTTTTAGGTCACCCAACTTACGGTACACTGTTGCAGTCATCCCAAGAGGCCAATACAAAGACATAAATATCTTTTGTTTAACCAATGTTTCTTTGGGCTTACCCATTTCTTGCAGCTGATACTAATCTTGACAGATCCGTATGGAGGGGATGGTCAGATTCTATCAAAAGCATCAACTTTTTTTGTAGCCTTGGCAAACATTAGGTTAGTACCCTTAGCAAAATTTTACTGGTTTCCATGAGAACAGGAAAGGTTATGAAATGAACCATGTGACAAAATGGAAGTCACCACAGTTACAGTATAAATAAATCTCGGATGAGGTGATTTGAGGAGAAATAGCACCTACATTTAGAGAGTCCCTATTGTGTCTGGTATTTTGTTGACCTCATTAAACCTGCATCTGAATCTATGAAGTAGATTTTTAACATTTTTACAATTCAAGAATATAAAAATTGAGGCCCAGACGTGTTGAGTGTCCTGCCCAAGATACTACAGGTGGCAAAAACAAAACAAAACAAAACTAGAAACCGAACCTGACTCCAAAGCCCATACCTGTTTCCCTCTACAATGCTGGGCTGACAGAAGTAAGGCAGGAGGGAGTGGGTTGCTAGAGAAGAGGCAAGCATGTCTGGGCCCATGGAAATGGAACCAGTGGGAGGGAGAGACTAGAAACACACAGAAACTACCAGGAAATTCATGTGCCAGTTTTAATACACAGGACTTTTAACATAAAACTGATTGATCCCAACTGCTGTCAGGAGAGGGGAGAGCAGGGGCTATTCTTTTTCCTATTAAGCAGTGGCATGGCATTATCTCCAAGTTACATCATTACATTAAAAACAAACAAACAAAAAACTCCAGTTCATTTGAATATGCCCAGAATATCTCCAAGGACAGATGAGAACTAGTAACACTGTCTGCTAGAAGATTAATCACGTGGAAGACTTTCCACCTTTTAATTTGGAAAAAACATTTAAGCATAAAAATGTTTTTTCAGCCTAGAAACTTTAGAAAATGTAGATAAAATTTAAAGAAAACCCATTCGCAGGACGCCTGGGCAGCGCAGTCAGTGTCCAACTCTTGGTTTGGCTCAGGTCACAATCTCAGGTTGTGAGACTGAGCCCTACATCAGGCTCAACACTCAGCGTGGAGTCTGCTTAAGCCTCTCCCCCTCTACCCCTCACCCACCATGTGCTCTTTCTAAAATAAGTATTTTAAAAATTCATTTGCAATTCTAGAACCCAAAATTACCAGTTATTATATATGCACACATATACCTAGATTGCTTGGTTTTAAAACCAGGGTCATGACAAATATAAAAGCATTTTTTTTTTTTTCCATTTAACAATAGTTCAAGGGCAGTTTTCCCCAATAGACTGCCATAGTATCTTATGGTAGATAGCTAATCTACTACAAATCCAGTCTTCCCTTCTTCCTTGGCCAAAACCCAATTTCATGCAGTGTGGCTCTGTATGCAAATATGACAATTTCTCAGCCTTCCTTGCCCAAAGTGGGGCAATGTCACTAAACAGCCAATAAGATGTGAATACAAGTATCACATGAAACTTATGGGAAACCTTAAGAATGTCAGTTTTCCTTTATTCCTTCCTGTGGCTTAGAATGTCAGCATCTCAAGCCATCACCATGTAACATGCTGAGATTATCCTTGGGTGGTGATTTAGGGATGGCTGAAGCCTGGATCCCCGATGACTCTGTGATGCTTTTATCAGCAACGGTTCTGGACTACATCTGGCCTTTTTAACAAGAAAATAAACCTTTGTGTTTAGGCTACTCTATTATTTCCTTATTAAACATGCTGCTTGTCTTTTTTTTTTTTTTTAAATATTAGAGAGAGACAGCATGAGTTGAGGCAGAGGGAGAAGGAGAAACAGACTCCCCGCTGAGCACAGAGACTGACACGGAACTCAACCCCAGGACCCTGGGATCATGACCTGAGCCAAAGGCACACACTTTACTAAGCCACCCAGGCACCCCTGGTCATTTATTTTTATTAGAAATAAACAATGAATAATCTAGAATGTCTTTTTCTACATCTACTGAGATGACCCAATAGTCCAGTTGAGCTATTGATGTGGTTAACTGCATTTCCAGAAAATGCTTTGTACAGTGTATTCTTTCAATGTGCCACTAGCTTTAAAGCTAATATTTTACATGTGCACTCAGAAACAAGAGCAGACCAAGTTATCTGCTTCAGATTTTGATGTCAGGGTTATAAATTTTAGAATGCACAGCTTTGTTACAAAATTAACTGAATGGCTTATAGGCAACACGTTCATTCTTCGTTTCTAAGTGTTCCGTTACAGACGTCATCTTTTGACTAGGCTTAGGGATGTGTTTCAAAATGGCTAGAACTGTTCTGGTGACTAGATTTAGGAGTATAGTTTCTAATTAGTATTAATACTTTTTGTAAAAATACTTTTTCTAATTAGTATTAATAGTAAAAATACTTTTTCTAATTAGTATTAATACTTTCTATCTTTACGTTTACTGTGTCTCAATATTAGAGACTCACCAAAATTTTAAATAGTTTTTTTATTTTAGGAGATAAACTTTATAGTTATGGGCAAGTCACCTCTGTTCATGTGCTGGAAGGAAACCAGGTGGACCAGCTAACATCAAACAGTAAATGAAATAAGTCTTAGCTAATTAAGTGCCATGCAGTATCGTAGTCACTTTACATATATTAACTTTTAATTCTCAAAAAAATTCTGTTATCCACTTCACAGAGGAGGAATCTAAAGAAGATAAATTACTTACCCAAGGTCACATGGCTTCTTAGAGGCAGTAGTGAAGCTAAAGAGCTGAATTACAACTAAGGGCTGACTTAATTATTTCAAACTGGGGATTCAGAAGACTGCAAATGTTAAAATCCTACGTATCTGGGGCCTGTAACAGTGCAGTATGTTTTTACAATTTTAACTTTTAAAATCAAAGTGTTACCTCTAGTAGTGGGATGAGGTATTCAAGAATAAAAGTCAGAAGGAAGAGAATGTTTACTGTTTAAGATGCAAGCTTTTTCAGAATGAATGTGGTGTAATTGGGAATGCGCTGGGCAAGGGGAAAAAAGGCCTGGATTTTTTCATTCCAGCTGACATTAAATGTCATGAGAACTCTGGACCTTAAGGGCCTCAACTATATAATGAAAGGCTTGGCTCATCTCACCTGAGGACATTTCCTCTGTCCTACCTGGCTTCACCTCTTCCCAGATGGTAAATGCCAGGCCATATCTTTATTTAAAAATAAAAACAAAAATGAAAAACTCCTCCCCCCAAACCAGGGCTACCATTCCAGGACACTCTCCTACTGTTTTCTTCAAAAGAAAAAACAAAACAAAACACCTAGTTGATAGAATTTTATATTTTGGGGCTGGGACAGCATCTTCTACATTGGATATGAAGAATTTGATTTGTGAACACTGTAGTAATCAAGCACTACTTGTATTTTAGAATATCACCTTTGCTTTCTACCCTGAATGCTTGGTCTCTCAATTTACAGTCGTTTTGAACTCACAACCCTGAGATAAAGACCTGAGCTGAGAACAAGATGATGCTGAGCCACCCAGGTGCCCCTACACCATTTTTAATATGTAATGTTCGTGTTCTTTGCTTTATTTGGTCCGTGTTCTTTTGGTCATTAAGTCATTTACTCTGTTTTCAACATTTCCCATCTCCATAGCCCATTTATGCTCACAGTGGCTCACAGATAAAGCAGGGTTCTAGCCTAGTCTTAAATTCATTGAAGAGATAAGGGGAGAGGAGTTACCTCCTGATGTCATGAAAACACATGGCATTATCAAAACATGAAAGAAAGGACTTTCTTGTGGCTGTGGCAAAGTGCTCGTTCCTGGCAGGTGGCAGAATGGTAGGAAGCACAGGAAGTTCGAAGAGGGCAATGAATACTTAAGCATTCAACTTGATTGCATCAACTTTTAGGACATTAGGAAGCCATTCAGGATTTCTCAGCAAGAGGTCAAGTGGCCAGATCTGTTAGATAATTCTGGTGGTGGCAAGTATAATAGTTCAGGGAACTGAGAGGCAGATAACTGGCCAGATCTGTTAGATAATTCTGGTGGTGGCAAGTATAATAGTTCAGGGAACTGAGAGGCAGATAACTGCACCACCCCATCTCCCCCCCGAAGAGCCAAACCAGGGCAGTGACCATGTGAATGCAGGAGAGGGCAAGATGTCATATTCAGAAATAGACTAGACGAGACAAAAACAACTGAGTGGCTCTAGAAGGAACAGGAATCAAGGATCCATGGAAGTTCATACAGATGTTTTCAAATAAAAGAAAATATAAGGGGAAGAGGGGAGGAGGAGGAGGCTGGGTTCCATTCTAAGCTTTTGGAGCCCAAGACAATAGTGAAACCTACAAATAGCCACTGATGAATATGGATGTCAGCAGGGAGGTAGAAGCTTGAGCTAGAGGTCTAGGACCCACCTAGTGGTTAGCTGCCCAGATGTACTTAGAAGAGTCCTAAGGACTAAACCCTGGGCAACGCCACATTTAAGAGAGCAAGAGAAACACAGAGTCACAGAAGTAAGTCAAGAGACAGGGGTGAGCAGGGGCTTGGAAGAGGAATTCAGGATAGGGGACGAATCCCGACCATCAGTGCCAGGTCCCCACCCAGTACACCACTAGAAGAGAAGAGCCACGAGGGCAGGAACTTTCCACTGTGGTATCTGCAGTGCCTGCAACTGTGCAGGGCTCCCGGGAGCTGCTCCACAACTGCTGTGGAGGGAACGGAAGGATATGGGGCAGGCCTTCAGTAGCCACGGAGCCGGATCATCAGAAGGCGCTGATGACACACACCAGGGCCACTTTCAGGAACGCCTCCCCCCCCACAGACACCCTACCCTGGTGCAACTCCACCAAAGCACCGCTGGGAGTCTGGCTCCCAGAAGACAGAAGGTTGAGACACACACAAGTTCACCACTGAACCAGGGGGTAAAAATCTCGTCTCATTCACCTACCCTGACAGAAGTTCTGCATAGGCAGGCATCATCATTACGACAGGTTCCTCTTAAAGACTTTATGAGATTAGCTAGAGCCCATAAAAGCTATATAGAATATTTGAACATGCAAGAAATTTTAGATTAAAATGAATCATATGGGAATTACGCCAAATGAAGAAGTCACCCATCCCTTATCGATTTTACGAGTTTTCACATTTGCTTAAAAATTAGCATAGCTAGATCATCTTTTACAGCTCCCATCCCCACCAATTAGTGTTGGTGGGGTTCTAACTATACGCAGAAGTTCAAAGATTAACCTGGAAAGTACCAGATTTTGTGATAAAGAGCCCCAAACAGAGTCTTGCGGTTCCTGAGGTAGTCTTGCCCCAACAGGTGAGCGGCTCGGATTTCAAAGTCCTTCATCAGGCCCTATCAGCAAGGCTCAGTTCATGTGCCCCACTGACCAGCAAAGCAGGACAGAAGACACCTAGCACACGGCAGGTGCTAAGAACAGGTGATGAACCGGCATTTTCCCTTCACACCATACATGTAACAAAAATCCACCTCTCTCTTCCAGCTTTGTTTGGACCCGCAGGGCCTATCCCTTCACTGAAGCCGCTCTTCAGGTTCCACAGCAAGAAGTCTTCCTATTTCCTCAACAGGCAACAGGGCCCTGGAGGCTTAGCGCCTCTAAATGCAACAGGCTCTGCATCTCCTACTTACTCAAGACTCCACAAAGCGTATTTGCTACACGGGTATTTATTCAAGGACTTTCTATATTCAGTCACCACTGAAATCACTGCTAAGCTCTTTTCATACCTATTTGTGTCACAGTTCTTCATGTTGGACAGTGAAGTTGACAGGCAAGGGTGAGCCTGTTAGTTATGACTGACAATGACTGGCATGGCGTCACCACTGAAGAGCTCGGAGAGTAGACGCTCGTGGAGGAGGAGGATGAGAATAGAGAGGAGGGTCCTGAGGAAGGGCCCAGACAGGCTGCCCCACCCACAGAACCCGAGGCCTGCATGAGGCCTGGGATCTGCTTTCCCCTCTGCCCTGGAAGGTCCTCTCTGGGTGATTCTAAGGCACGGTGGTGAAGGACGTGATTGGCCCACCCAGTGTGGTCCTCTGGTCTAGTGGCAGCCCCTCGCCTGGCAAACAGTGCAACAAGCATTCCATTTAGAAGATCTTCTCAAACACATGCAAGCAGCATTCTCTAATGGAAATGGAGACAAGGTCTTTCTTGGAAGAGAGTGCCCCAGAAGATACTCTCTGCCCCAAGACCAACCAGGTCCCTTTTAAGGTCCCTGAGAACAGCAGCCTGGGAGCAGCCAAGACTTTCAAAGGCTGACAAGGCACAGAGTGGATGAATGAAAAGATAACAATACATGGAAAAAACATAACAACACAACTTTGGCTTATAAAACCTCCAACCTGAGGCGGGGACATCCGTGTCCACCAACATGCAGAAACAGATGATTGTAGCAGATGGTTGTCAGAAATGCTTTAGCATTTCCCACACTGTCCACATTCCAAGCCCTGCTCTACCCTCCCCCACAACCCCCCACAACACACACACACACACACACACACAGTATCTGCAGAATGAGTCAGAGGTTGGGATCCAGAGCCTGACATCAGGATAGAACTCTTGGCACTCCGCACTAAATCACCATGATTAGTCCTATCTAGACAGCAAAATTCACACTGGCCTAAGCTCGAATGGCAGGGTCTGTCTTGTGAAAAGTTAGGCTGCACCCAAGACCGCCAGATCTGGAAAGTCTTTCACTTCTCCTACTTCGCTGAAAGGCTGTCCACCCTGGTTGAATGTCAGCTTATACCGTAACCGGATGGGCTCCTGGGCAAAGACAGAAGACATTAAATTAGTGGGGAGACACACAGACCAGCCCAGTGTACAAGCTTTTACCCACCCAGCAGTCACCAAGGAACAGTGTATCATGTTAATTCCATGCCAGTAAGGCCTTGAAACAACTATGACAGGAACACCTGGCCAGGACCCTCTGGGATGACAAACTCAAGCCATATGTCCTGGGAGAACTCCCACAGCTTTGCAGTCCTGAGGTGGACCACAACTCAGAGACTGGCTAAGGAGGACAGGCACACCCTTTCAGAAGACTCATGGTACGAGGGGGAGTTCGTGTCACATTCTCAGTTCCCAGCTATGGCAACCCAGTCAGAGATCTTCTTCCAATGAGCCCTGAAGAAAAGACTCAGCAAGGAAAATCTCACCACCACTCCCAACCAGAGACTGTAGAGCAAGACCCAAATAAAGCTCTTTCAAACTCCCTACAGTCCAGGGGCCCCCCATCCCCCTGTTATTAAAGTTACCAGAACATACTTTGTGTGGATTGTCAAGCAACAGCATCTGAGAGATCACAGCTGGAGGTGTCAATGGACTGAACGCCGGGAGCTTGGAGCTGGATGCCGGCTGCAGCTTCACTCTCATGGACTGGGGGGGGGATAAATCCAGTATCTAACTTGTTCCTAATAAAGTACAGCTTCAAAGAGGGAGTTCAGGTAAGCAGGAAAACTTGACCTCCACCCACCAAATAATTAAAGGGTCCAAAAGTCCTTCCCTTCCATAAACAGAAGTTGTGTGGTCAATGGTTGGCTTCTGAGAGGCAGCATGAAGAGCTAGGGCATACCTTGGGCTGAGTTCTAATTCTGCTTCTTACTAGCTCTGGGATCTTGGGCAAAATACTTAACCTTTCTGAGCCCTGGACTAGAAGTTTATAAAATAGAGATTAACGATAACACATGTCCCACAAGACTACCATGAGGATGAGAGAATGTGTATGTTTACTTTTGCCCACCTTGAATCTTTCCTTCCAGGACATCCTTTCCCTGTTCATTGTGATGCTGGTATGGCTGTGAATCAGTGGGGGCCCTACTTCCCTTGAAGAGGAATGGACATAATACCTACATTGGCCAGAGTACCTCATTATCCCTGAACACAAGGTACTGGTCCCAGATATCCAAGTAATGCCAACAGGGCCAATCCTAGCCCTTTCGAGGGTAATCAATATATATGCCTCATGCCAGGTGGAAGTTTCCTTCCGAGATAAAAAGGGTTCAGGAGGGTATGGGCTATGTAACTCTGGACCTGCTGGTAGCCATTTACATGCTGTGTGGAGTCTGTTGGAGAACAGGCTCCAAAGAAGAAAGCAGTCAAGAGGTGGAAAGAGGGGACGCCTGGGTGGCTCAGTCAGTTAAGCGTCTGCCTTCAGCTCAGTTCATGATCCCAGGGTCCTGGGATCGAGTCCCGCATCGGGCTCCCTGCTCCGCGGGGAGCCTGCTTCTCCCTCTGCCTCTGCCTCTCTCTCTCATGAATAAATAAAAAAAATCTTTAAAAAAAAAGAGGTGGAAAGAGATTCTTAAGGAATCATTTTAAGAACTTATCTAGATCCAGCCACATCTGAAGTCAGATATTCAGAAATCCCCATTAAATAAGCCAATAAAACTCCCATTTGATTTTAAATTCCTTTGAAGAATGTGTCTCTTGTACCTAACTAAAAGATCATGTCCTAGTAAAGGGTCTGGCGCTCAAAAATGCTAGCTTTACTGAAAAATTCAAAGGAGCGGGCCAGCAGATGACTCACCTTGGGCACAGCCACTTGAAACATGATGTCCCAGACAGGCTGGGTGGCAGTGCTCATCATGGTCAACAGCAACACCTGCACCTCCGGATGGCCAGGGGCCCCCGTCTGAGAAAAGTGGAGCAGAATTCGGAATCCATTCCGGTCATACACAATAAGAGGCGGCAGGCTGCCTGGTAGAGAAGGACCCAACCAAAAGGGTTAACATGACCACAAGGCCGCCAACAGCCATGCCTGAAAGAGATGTGCGTGTTATCATCCGCCGCTGCTGCCTCTACCATCAGCACAGCTCCTGGACTGACCTCCTCAGACCCAACCTTCTGGTGCCACCATAATCCAGCCCTCACTACTCCTAGCTGGACTCCGAGGGCCCCTCAAACTGACTGCTCCCCACCATCCAACCATCCGAAGCACATTACCAGTTTGTTTTTTTAAAAGACTTTATTTGAGATAGAGCAAGCGAGCAAGAGAGAGAGAGCATGAGCGGGGGGAACGGGGAGTGGCGGAGTGCAGCAGAGGGAGAGGGAGAAGCAGACTCTCCACTGAGCAGAGAGCCCGATGCAGGGCTCAATCCCAGGACTCTGGGATCATGAGCTGAGATGAAGGCAGATGCTCTCAACCAACTAAGCCACCCAGGCACCCCAGCATATTAGCAGTTTTTTTGTTTTGTTTTGTTTTGTTTTTTTTAAAAGGTACTTTTTTTGAGGGAGACAGGATTAGGACTAAAATACTATGAACACTATAGAAAATACAGGATATCATAATGAAATAAAAGACACCATTAATCCTACCCAGAAAAAAGCATTGCTAACATTTGGGCCTATTTCCTTCTGGTCTCTTTTATATGACTACATGCACACACACCTCTTGCATTTAATTTTACAGAATAAAGACACAGATCTCTTCAAGTCAATAGGTTTACTGACCTTCCAATGGAAATCCTAAAAGGATTATTTTAATTCAGCTAAGAAATGATTCTAAGGCAAAGGGGGGGTGGAGGGGTATGAGACTATCCACTTAAGAAGAGGGAGGAAAGGCTATTTGTGTCAAGAAATACTCCTAAGTACATAACCAAGTGGAGAGGTAGGAAACAAAGCATGCTGAATAGATCTAGTAGGAGAATTCAACGTGTTAGAACATCTATGTCAAAATCAGTGGCTGATTCAATAAGCGGCAGACAACTATCTAATCTGGGAAAAAATGTTTAATGATGATCCTTAGTTCATGCCAAACATCACTTAACAATGAGACTGTCAAAGATTTAAAAGTATGATTAGATTAAAAGTCCTCTTGAGGGATGGTGGTGAGTTTATGGGGAAAGAGGCAACCTTTCTGAAGGGATCCTGGTCATGCAGATCAAAATTTTAAATGTCTACACCCGGCATTTCTAAGAATATATCCTGATGAAATAATCAGGAAAGTTTAAAAACACAAGTGTCCAGAGATGTTCACCGTAGCAGTTTTTAACAGCAAACAACTAGAAACAAATTATCCTTCAGAAAGGAATTAAATGAAGGCACCTGGGTGGCTCAGTCAGTTAAGTGACTTGATTTCAACTCAGGTTATAATCTTGGGGTCGTGAGATCGAGCCTGGCATTGGCCTCTATGCTGAGTGTGGAACTTGCTTAAGAGTCTCTTTCCTTCTCCCTGTGCCCCTCCCCACTCAAGTGCACGCCCCCCTCCCCCCCCAAATTTTTAATTAAAAAAGTAAAAAAAATAAAGAAAGGAACTGAATAAATGAATGACGTACCATGATTATATGATGTATGGAGACATTTAAAAAGTAAAAGTTTTGAAGAACAATTCACAGCATGAAAAAATGCTATAGCTTTTAATAACAAAGCAGGCTGTAAAACATTCTAAATATACTGTATCTAAGCACCCTGGGTGTCTCCTGCTCACATGCCAGTGTGCCAACTGTATACGGTCACCTTCCTTCCTTCCTTCGTAAGGAGGGAACCTCTGCTCTCCTCCTCTAATGAGGACCCCCAGCCAAAGAGGGCCACCAGCCAAGTTCTTCCTTTCCATCTAATCTCACCTCTTCGGAGTTATTTCTGCCACACTGGACATTTCCTTCTTGAATTCCAAATGAGTGAGCATCATGTCCAAAAACAGACTCAAGCTCCCTAATTAAAGTCTGCCTGCCAATATCCTTCACTTTTAGTGTCAACCCCAAGACAGAAACTTTATGAAAAATAGTAGGTGAAAGACTGTGAAGCCACCTCCTTACCCTCTGCCTCCAGGCAAAATCTCTACCACTCAGCTTCCCCAATTTAAGAGCCACCCCCTACCAATCCAGAGCAGATAAAAGTTGGGTATTTAAGAGCAGGGGGGTGGCGGGGGAGGTAAAACTGTACTTACTGGGCTTAACAGACTCCAAAGGGACAAATACTTGAGCCAGAGGTGTATTCTGGGAGGATGGGGAAGAAGCCAATGGCCCAGCTTCCCAGGACCAACCTGGAGAGGACTTAGTGCCGGGGGGCACTTCCTTAGGGATGCTCTTCTGTGGAACATAATTTCTGCAAAGAAATGAAAAAAATATCAAGACTAGCAAAAATTATAGACAATTCCAGGAAATCTGATTAGGCTTTCTGAAGAATGAGATACAGAAGGGGGAGAAAAATACATATGTGTGCATGTATTTTAGAGGAATAGGACTTTAGATGGGTAATTTCACCTGCGCCTGTTTTCTCAACCATAAGATGGAAATCATCTAACATCTACCTCATAGGGTTGTCATTAGAATTAAATGAGAAAATGTACGAAAAGCATTGAAGACTGTGCACACATAAGGACCCAATAAACCAGAAGCTATTATTAAGGCAATCAGAGTTGTAGTTGTCAGACAGCCTCTGACAACGAGTTGCTCAGTCAGGTTACGTTTCCCCGTACGTGGTCACCAGAGTAACAGGAGTTAGGAAGATAACACCAATTACACGGACCACTTCATTCATGATTTTGTCCATTTGGAATGTAAACTGAAAACATGTTTTAAGTAGGCTCCACAGCCAGCGAAGAGCCCAACTCGGGGCTTGAACTCACAACCCTGAGATGAAGACCTGAGCTGAGATCAAGAGTCAGATGCTTAACCGGCTGAGCCACCCAGGCACTCCAAAAACATTTTCAGTACCAACTGAAAACTATAGTGCAGAGTAACCCACCCAAATCAGGAAGATTACCAGCCCCTCGCTGTGCTGAGTGGTTAGGAGTAAATGGAAAGACTCCCTCTGGGTGCAAACAAGAATGACATCCCAGCACATCTTCATGTCCACCAGGACCTTGTGTCTCTACCACAGACACGGACACACTCAGGGTGTCTACGGGAAGGCAGACCGCGCCAACCTTCCCAGAGGCAAAGCAGCAGGATCTACATACACGTTTAGACTCACGCCTTAGAGCACTTCCACTTTTAGGAATCCATACTATAAAAACGCTCCGAATGCCTCTGAACTGAAAGCTACGTAAATACCCACAAGAGGACAATGACTAAATATGAGAATTATATGCATATGGATTATTACAACTATCAGAATGAGACAAATTTATCTAAACCCATATGGACATGTATCAAAGATGCTATATGAAAAAAACCACACTGGACAACAGTCTGTAATTATGGCCCATGTGTGTAAAAAATAAACAACATAATGCATTACTACATACAGAGAGAAAAGCAAGGAAGGAACATTGGGCATTATCTTTAGGGAGTGTAATTGGGCCTTTCTATATTATCTATTTCTCTAGTGATCAAATTTTGCTTAACTTCCTTGTAATCAGGGAAAAAAAAAAAAAAAGCCTATGAACACCACATCATCATCATCATCTACTGCTGCTACTCCTTAAACCAATCCCTTTGCAGAGGTCCTAACCAAAGCATGTCTTTTCGTCTGACTTGGGATAGGGAGTCAAAGGAGAAGAGGGGAGGTACATATGGAACCCTTGGTAGGAAGGAAGCAGCCCCTCCAGGGAGAGGTCTCTGGCTGTCTCCACGTGTGCCCCATGTTCCCGCACACCAACACGGCTCCTCGGCCTGGCCCCCACGCAAGGAGCAGGAAGCATGCACAGGAGCCCCTCTTCTACTTTCCTTGCCCACAAGACTCACAGAGGCCCTGGACACGGCTGTGGGGAGAGGAGATCCAGCAAGTTCCTTTCTGCAGAAGGGCTCTGAACACCACCACCTGGCTGCATGCTGGCGGGGGGATTCCTCTTTTCCTTACAGCAATTCTGACTGGCAACCTGTCAAACCAGGAATGGCTAAAATAAGGCCAGGGTATGAATGATCAGGAGCCATGGTGACACCAGGACACAGGCTTACTGCATTTCCTGGGGCAGGAGGAGAAAAAGGGCAAGAGAGCACAGGACTCCTGATATGACCTTCAGTAAGCGGGGGCCTGGATACCACTGAAGAGAGTAGGGATACAAGGAGAGGGAAAAATGTGTCTCTCTGGGGGTTCAAGCCAGACAACATAAGTAAGGAAGAGGCTTTGGACCTCCAAGTCCACAGTCGCCACCAGGCTATGCTGTAGCCCCTTCCCCCACGCCCAGGCAGTGCTGCCCTTATGAACGTAGGTTTGAGGGACCTCCCTTCCACCCCCTAGGAAGAGCTTCCTTACCTTGTGGGTAACCGGAGCATCACTGAGGCCTGTAAGGAAGAAACAGAAAGATGTGCACCAGTAACTCTACCTGACAGGAGCTGGAGATTGTTATCATGTTCACCCTTTCTAGAACATTTAGAAAGCCTAGGCAAAGCAAATTACCCAAAATCATTCAACTCATCCATGACAAATCTGAGACTAAATGCAAAGAGGACCTCTCCAAACTTTCCAGGATAGTAGTGCCCCCTTATCCATTAGGGGATATGTTCTAAGATCCCTGGTGGATGCCTGAAAGGGCGGATGTAGCAATCCCTCCATATACTATGTTTTTTTCCCCCCACACATACATAACTACAATTACGTTTACTTTGTAAGTTAGACACAGTAATGGATAATAACAACAATATACTGTAGTAAGAATTATGTGAATGTGGTCTCTCGCTCTCAAAATATATTATACTGTACTCACCCTTTGTCTTCTTGTGATGGGAGATGATAAAATGCCTACGTGATGAGATGAAGTGAGGTGAATGACGTAGGCATGGGACGTAGCCCTAGGCTACTACTGACCTTCTGACCATATGTCAGAAGGAGGATCATCTGCTTCTGGATCGTGAGTCACTGAAATTGCGGACGAGGTGGGGGACTACTGTATACCCAGCTCCCTCTGAAAACAGGCATATTCTCCCCAAGCGGAACCAGCTTACTTGCTCTTCCTGGGAGTCAGGGCCATTCTGCGCCTGCTCCCCCTAAACACCCACCCTCACCTAAGGCTGCCAGGTCCTGGTGAAGCAAAGACGGTGCCACAGTCCCAGCCTGCTCAGATTCATTGTCCACCTCCAAGTCAATCAGAGGACAGCTCTTCATGCAACCTGCTGGTTTCTGAAAGACTAGAGAACAGTCAGGAACATAGGTGAGGATGCGAGCAAAGTCTCCACTTAATGCCCATTAGCTTCCCACAGGCCTCCTCTCAATCAGAAGACATCACCTCGCCCCCTCAATGCACCCCCGCTGAATGGCTTGATGTATAGCCCGAGCTGGTATCTGGAATAGGAGGCAACCAGGGGACTGCCTTCCTACCCCAGCAATCACTGTCCTCTGCTAGGGGTCCATTCAACCTGGCCAGCAACAGGGCGGACGTCTCCTGCTCACAGGCCTTTTGACAACAACTCCTCACAATCACTGGAGCGCTTGATAAAAACACAAACCCCCAGGCCAAGCTCTAAGCAGTCTTGATTCAGAAGGTCCGAGCTGAGGACCTAAGAATCTGCAGTTCAGTCAGTGTGCCAGATGATTCTGACGCAGCTAGCCTGCTAGGCACCACCAAAACAGATCACTTTTTTGGTTTCTAGCTCCTCAAAGTAAGCATTCATGAGAAGAGGAATCAAAACCTGGGCGCAATATAGCCATCTGCTCCCGTGGATAGCCAGAGCTAGGGTCCAGCCTGCCAGTCAGTTCGTGATGGCACACGTGGCAGAGGCTGGCTACATAAAACCATCCCCCAAAGGGAAGGGAAAAAAGGCCAAGGCCTCTCATTTCCACACCACAACCCAGAATATTCTGAGGATCCATTTCTTCTCCGGGATTTGCAGGATGCCCAGGCAGAACATAAGGAGAGGCTTCTTTGCACATACCTCTGGAGACAGGTAGGTCTCCCACTGAGCTGGTCACTGTATTCCCAAAGATGACTCGGCCCTCCATCACCTGTTTGTACAGCAGAACTCCCTGGGTGAGGAGGTCATTTGCCTGAAGAATCTCCGCTGAAGGAGGGAAAAATGAGAACCCCCCGGTTCAGCTACCAACAATCTCAGTGTTTTTTAAGCCATTCCAGAAAGCAGGGGTCACGCAGCACTACCAGGTTCAGTATACCCATGCCTCCTGCCCCCAGATCATGTGATCAGGCCCCTAGCAGACCTAGTTATTCAGGCCCTAATCCCCAGCACTTCTAGCTCTCAAGATGCAGGAGGAACCAAATTTCTTCACCACCGTTGCCAGTACCTTCCAACACAATGGCCCCTTCAACTAAGGAACTAAAACTTTAATATTAATTAACTTAAAATAAAAACAGTTTTGTCAATGTGGATGTGAATATTAAGAGTTTTCCAGGGCAGGGGGAGGCGCCTGGGTGGCTCAGTTGGTTAAGCAGCTGCCTTCAACTCAGGTCATGATCCTAGAGTCCTGGGATCGAGGCCCCCATCAGGCTCCCTGCTCAGTGGGGACCTGCTTCTCTCTCTCCCTCTGCCAGCTTCTCCCTCTGCTTGTGCTCTCTCAAATAAATAAAATCTTAAAAAAAAAAAAGAAAAAAAAAGGTTTTTTGGTACTTTATTCACTTATTGGAAAGCTTTTTAAGTATGTAGGGAACAAACTGGTACATGAATGTATGTTTTCACCTGTAAATTTCACAAAATCTAAATATAGATCAAGTATTCCTGATGAAATCTTGCCATCCAAATTGAAATGTCGTATATAAGTATAAAATATGCACTGGATTCCAAAAACTTCACAAGCATTTGTGAATTGGCCCCTGCCAATTTTCTTAACACATAAGCTGCAACATGGGGTTGAATTCACCTGGCAAAATGTTTTAGTTAGCATGGATGAGTTGCTTAAAAATTTAAATTTGATTGTTTTTGAGCTGATTGCAATCAGAGAAAATGATGGGTTCAGACCATAATCACGAAGAGATAATCAGAAACCAAAGGCTTCTTGAACACCACCCATGAAGTGTTCTTGCTCCCCACATCCCTGCTCCAACTGATCCTGAATCTGATCAAGCCCCTGATCCAATTTGTAAGAAATATCAGGAATTTATAAGAAGTATCAGATATGGAAAAACATTAAATATCATGGGGCACGCCATCAGAACACTGAGGCCTAGAGAAACTCTGTAGGTCAAAGGACATGTTTTTCATCTAATAAGAAGGAGAAAAAGAACCAAGGGGCTATCCATTAAAAAAGACTTACAAAATACCAATTGCAAAGTATGCCTTTTCTGAGTCTGATTCAGAACTTAAAAAAAAAGGGGGGGTGCGCTGAGGTGGGAGGGTTAGCAAGAGATGTTTAGAGAGAGAAGTGCCCGGGGAAATCTGAACACTGACTATTTGATTACCTCGGAATGTTTGCAATTTGCTTCAAAAAGAATAAGCGATGGGGGAGCGAGAGCAGCACACATGCAACAAGAGGAAAAAAGATGGGCCACGAGCTGGTAGCTGTTACCAACAGGTGAACGGGACATAGGATTTATCCCACTATTTCCGTGCACATGTCCTGAAATTGTCCATAACAGAAAGTGTAAGATATTTTTATCTCTGTGCACAGATATTAAAATTCTCCGCTGTCCCTACCATTATTCCTGCCCTTCCTCCTCAGCCTGCCTCAGGTTGGCGACCCAGCCCGATGGCACTTAGGTTGGTGAAACCTTCGAGATGCCGCAGTTCCTCAGACTTCTGTGGAAGTTAGTCTTCCTTCCAGCATCTCCCTAGCGCCTAACCTTCACGGCACATTTCCACCCCTCTCTAGGCTTTCAGACCAGCTGATGATCGCCTGCTCAAGCCTAGATCGTCCCGGAAATCAGTTCTAAGGCCACGCCCTTCCAAAGCCCAATCGCCACAAAAGCCATGCTGTCTGGTCTCTGGCACCACCGTGTCCCAGCAGGAAGGGGCACGTGCGTTCTGCCCTCCAGTGTCCCGGCTGAGCCAAGAGAAGAGCGGCCTTACCGAGCGCATCGTCGTCGTCCGTGGTATCACTCGCCAGCCGGAACAGGGTGGGCCGCAGCTTCTCGCAGCGCTCATACACCACCTGAGGAAACAGAGCTGGTTCGCAGCAGGGCCCCAGGTGCCTCCAATAGGCACACAGTGGCGGTCTGCTGCTTCTGGAGTCTCCTGAGTCTGTCCCATATGTATGGCTGCAGGTTGAAGTGACATGGCCGTCACGGTGTCAGAAACAGTTTGGGCTGTAGTTACCGGAATTTTTAAAATAGTTAAAAAGGTAACAGATGGCCTAAGAATCCACCTTCTGAGCATGTACAGCATTACCTCTTCTCCAAGCTCCTTTCCTTGCTCTCTAGAAGAGCTTTATTTTTTTAAGATTCTTTAAAATTTTTGACAGTGCGTGAGAGAGCATGAGCTGGGGGGGGGGGTAGAGGGGGGAGGGGGTGCAGTGGCAGAAGGAGAAGCAGACTCACCGCTGAGCAGGGAGCCCGATGCAGGACTCAATCCCAGGACCCCGAGATCATCATCTGAGCCAAAGGCAGATGCTTAACTGACTGAGCCACCCAGGCGCCCCTGTAAGAGCTTTAATAATGGGGTAACCCCACATGGAAACCTGAAGCGACTACCCTGCTTTAAAACTAATCCAAACTCCCCATCCAACTGTTGGAAGACAGGCATCAGATTTTTCCGACAACACTCCCTGATTCCCACTGCATGTTCTCCCAGGACTAAACCTCAGTCCGCACCAATAACATCTGGGAAATCTCTCTCCCCTCATCCCCGGAGAGTGGCTCTGGACAACTTCACCCTCCACATACTAGGTGCTGAGGACGTAACTTCTGTCCATGTTAGGCTTCCTTCCTTGAGAGGGAGCCCAATTAACACTCCAGTCTTCCCTGATGGTAGCGCTCCCTGCCCCCTTCCCCAGGGCTGGCGAAATGACCTATCTGCTTAGGGGAGTCTGGGAGAGGAAGCAGAAAGGAGCCCCTTCCTGCCACTTTGCTCTTGAGAGCTCCCTGCCTATATGGAAGCCCACACTCGGCTCTGCTCCGACCAGCTCTACGTTTTAGAGAAGGAAGCCCCTTGTGGGGAGAACGGTGGTGTAGCAACACTATCTTAGGTGGTAGGTAAACCTGCCTGATTCGGCTTCAGTATTAGGAAGCCACTTGCCAATATTTATGTGCCACTTTTTCCAAAGTAGGCTCTACCCATTATAAAGATGAAATTTTGTTTCCTGCTATGTCTCTCCTGTCTCCTAGCTGGTTATCATCTTGGGTGGGGGAAAGTTGTGCTATTTAGAAGCCCAGCACGCCAACCTTGCCGAGGGGCTTTGGCACAAACTCACCTCAGGGAACTGGCTCTGGAGCATCTGCCTGGCCCAAGCCCACTAATCCTTCTGAGTACTGTCCCCTCTGGCCCCAGAAGGCCGGCATGATCTTCTTTGTAACTCTACCCAATCCTAGCTATAGCTGATTGACCTGGGGTAGATACAGGAGCCTTGCTGGACAAATCTATTTTTCTCTCGGGAATTTGGACTGAGGAAAGCTACTAGTTTGTTTCTGCTAACCCCGTGAAATGGAAGGACAGGGAAACTAAGGAGCTACGTGAAGGCCGTCTTTCCTGTGCCAAGAAGCATAAAAAGCCGGCATGCAGACAGAGAAGACAAATGTAGCTGGCAGAAGGAGGGAGAAGAGCAGAGCTTCAAGGACAAGCGTCCGAGCGGCTGGCTCTGACAGCACTCCAGCCCCACCACCACCTGTCTGCACTGGGCGGCAGTGACACAGCTGGGACAGCGAAGGCACCGGGGACAGAAGAAAACCAATAAATCAAACTCCAAAATCAAAGGAGAAAGTCTGACAAAGGACTGGTATCCAGGATACATAAAGAACCCTTAACAACTCAAAAATGAGAGACAACCCAATTAAAAACTGGGCAAAGGATCTGAACGGACATTTCTTCAGATAAGAAGACACACAAGTGGCCAAGAGACACAGGAAAGAAAGCTCAGCTGAAGTCACCAGGGAAATACATTTCCAAACCACAGTGAGATACCATTTTATACCCACTAGGATAGCTAGTATCAAAAAGACAGCCAGTAACAAGTGTTGGCAGGATATGGAGAACTGGAACCCTCCTATATCGCTGGTGGGATTGTAAAATGCCACAATGATTTGGCAAACAGCTTGGCAGTGCTCAGAAAGTTAAATGAAGCCACCAGATGATCCAGCAATTCCAGTTCTAGGTATCTATACTCAAGAAAATCGAAAGCTTATGTTTCACACACAAGAAAACTTGTATACGGCATTCCTAATAGCCAAAGTGGAAACCCAAATGCCCAACTGATGAACGGACAAAACGTGAGGCAGCTGTACAATGGAAGGTTACTCAGCCAGAAAAAGGAATAAAGTTTTGATACACACTACAAGATGGAGAAATCTTCCAAACATTAAGTGAGAGCAGCCAGACTCAAGACCACATGTTATAGGATTCAATTTACACAAAATGTCCAAAGAGGCAAATCTGCAGATGTAGAACATGGATGAGTGGTTGCCAGGAGCCGGTGGAATAGGTGTTGGCAGAGAGTGCCTGCTAATGGGCACAGGACTTCTTTTAGGGCTGATTAAATTCTTCCAGTTAGGGTTGATGGCTGCTTTTAGGATATGTAAATTCTCACTAAAGGTGTTAAAAAAAAAAAAAAAAAAAAAAAGACCCCGAGATGTGTAGCTGTGCGGGGGGAATTAGAATTCTCGTGTAATGTTGTTAGATACATAAAATGACACAACCACTTTAAGAAACTGGCCAACTATTTTTCAAAGTTAACTATACACTTAGCATGTGACCCAGCAATCCCACACCCAGGTGTATACCCAAGGAAAATGCATGTTCACACAAAATCCTATATATAACTATACACAATTGTTTATAGCAGCTTAATTCATAATCACCCAAAGCTGGAAACAACCCAATATCTATCAAAAGATGGACATACAGGGCGCCTGGGTGGCTCAGTTGGTTAAGCAACTGCCTTCGGCTCAGGTCATGATCCTGGAGTCCCTGGATCGAGTCCCGCATCGGGCTCCCTGCTCGGCAATGAGTCTGTTTCTCCCTCTGACCCTCCTCCCTCTCATGTGCGCTTTCTCATTCTCTCTCTCTCTCAAATAAATAAATAACATCTTTAAAAAAAAAAAAAAAATGGACATACATGTTGTAATACACACAACAGAATACACTCAATAAAAAGCTATTGATACACCTGCCATGAATGGATCTCAATTATGCCAAGAGGAAGAAGCCAGAAAGAAAAACAGAGAAAGAAGGAAAGAAAACTGTATTGCTCCCTGCATACAAAAAAGTCTAGAAAGTATAAACTAATCAGAACAGACAGCAAGGCAGCGTTTGTTTGGGGGATGGGGAGACAGGAAAGGAGGGGAGGGATAACCTAGGAGCATGAGGAAATTCTGGAGGGTGAAGGACATGTTTACTATCTTGATCATGATGATGGCTTCCTGGACACACACATGTCAAAACACATCAAATATGCTTAAAATATGTGCAATTTCTAATGTGTCAATTACACTCAATTCCACTTGAATTTATTTTTTAAAACCAGTACCTGCAAAGCCTCCTGGTCTGGTGGGGCCTGCCCCGGCCTGCGGTACATGCTCAGCATTTCCTGCAGCACCTTCACATGGCTCCGTACCTCCTCCACGGCACTGACTCTCTTGGACACCTTCTCAGATTTCTCTTGTTCCTTTTAGAAGAGAGAGGATGGAGGTGAGGGAGCAGAAGCCCTAGATAATGCCTGAGCGAGGAATGGGAAGGAGGCACTGCACTGGCGAGCTCAGGAAAGTCACTAGAACACTGAGTGGGCAGGAATGTTCACTCAGTGGCGAAGAAAACACTCTGAGCCCAGAATTCCTGCAAAAGGCAATGCAGTCCAGGGACCAGGGGATCTACTGCTTCATACCACCAGCTTTAATCCCTCTGAAAACCAGATTCCCAAACTGGACTCTATCACTGGGACAGAAACTAGGGTCTATGAAATGCTTTGGGCTCTTGCATAGAAATTCTTGGGAAGTACACAGCATGATTTCCTCTTCCGGTCACCATCCTGCTGCCCTTCAGGGAGCCCGCAACTGTGCCCCCATTCCGGGCCCAGAGGCCATCCCTTTCCTCGGCCAACTGTGCACCGACGCCCTCCAGCACATACACGTGTGTATCAAACGCTGGTTCTGCAGAGCCCAGTGGAAAAATGCCCACCTCCTTGACCAAGTTCTTGATCAGCCTGTTTGCAGCCTGAAGATCCTCCGGGTGGTTGCTCTTCAGAAGCCTCGTCAGAAGCTGCAGAGTGAACAAGAAGAGCAGGTGGCTTCCTCCCCCCTCCGTGTCAAATGGCCCACAGCAGCAGCAGGAGAATACGGATAACAGCTCCTCACTTTCCATGCGTTCTCCTACCAAGTCTCACAGTGAGGCCATGGAGGTATTAGGACTCTCCCCACAGACCACTGGTTTTCAACGGGGTAGGAAGGTGGAGGAGATAGCCCCCAGGAGACATCTGGCAAAGCCTGGAGACCTTTCTGATTGTCACAACTGAGGTGCTACCAGCATCTAGCAGGTAGAGGCCACGACACTATAAACTCCCTACAGTCAACAGGACAGCCCCCAACAAAATCATCTGGCCCAAAATGTCACTGCTGAGGCTGTCCTGGGCCAGACACCCTCCGATGTGACACACCTTGGTGATCTAGCAGAACGCCGTGCCCATGGGAGTCACTCAGTCTTCACTGATGGCAGTAGAGATGGCTATACTGAAGCCCAGAGCGTCTCAGTAGCTTGCCCCCGGTGACACAGGACTCTTTCTCCAAAGGCCATGCCCTTCCTCCTCTTCCCACCCACTGTAAGGCACCAGGAGAGGAGCCAGAGAGAAAGGCAGCCCAGAATCCAGCATAGTCCGGCTCGTTCTGACACCACGGCCACTGAACCTCTAGGCCCAAGGGAAGGGTGCAGCTGAGGGGTGCAGTTAGAGGCAGAGGGTCCCCAAGCCAGACTCCTACACTGCCTGCAGCTTTCCTGGTACTCATTTCCTAGACCCTGTGAGTGACCAAGAATAGTAATGTCCAAAAGCACAGCCACCACCAGTGCTCAAGGGCCCTCTCCCCCATTCAGAGGCACTCTACAGTTATCCCTAGGTCTTTGTCCCTCTCCTTCCTGATGTCTGAGGAGCAACAATTATGGGAGACAGTAGCAGAAAGAATACAGGTAGGATCAGGCTTACTGGCACTAAAAAAAAAAAAATTTTTGAGCCAAAATACAACCAATTCTTTCCACCATCTTCCCCTAATACCACACATACACTGGATATGACTGAGCATCCACCTCACCCACTGGGGTTATCTTTTTGTACCTTCTTTCCCTCAGGAACGCTTGTACAGTAAGGTGGAGGGGACAAAGAACATAGCATTTACTATTTGGCTCATCCATGAAGAAAACATCCAGACCTTATGCTACTTAACTCTAAGAGCCTGCTCCAGAGAGAACTCACTAACCCACCTCCCCACATTCCCCCCAACTTTGCTTCAGGGATCAGAGAACACCCCAGGGGATATTTCAGGAGAGTCCCTAGAAGAAGGGGTCAGATCAGATTCTAGATCGGCCACCAAGGTCAGGAAGGGGCTCTTTACCTTGGACTTTTCTTCATCGGCATCGAAGATAGAGCTCTTGGGCCAGGGAGAAGGTGGAGGCAAAATTTTATCCATTGGTAGTTTAGGGTCTTGCTTTACGATTCCTAAAACACAATTCGTGGAATTAAGATACGGCTAAGGGCAGCCACTGACTTTAGCAGGATGCAGCATCAAGTCCAGAGACTCCCAGTTCCTGATGTCCCACTGGGAAAACACTATCAATGACCTTAAAGGGATAGACCGAGGGTACGACCAAGGCTCTGCAACCTCCCTCAGGAGACTCCAAGGAACCAGCACAAAGACAGGGACATCAGAATCAACCGAGATCAGCACCAGATCTTAGGGCTTGTGGGCCATGGGTCTCATGCTATAAAAACATTGATTGTTACATACAGGTACGTAACCTCCCAGGGCCCAGAAGTTACTGTAGGATCCACGACCCTCCCAACAACAGTGAGTACATGTGGCGGGGAAAAATAGTCCATCCTGAATCCAGGTTCCTTCTTCTACAGAGTTCTTCGGACTCCCAGCTTCCACACAGGACGCAGAAAGGCATGAACTGCATGACTCCAACCCCGACTACACGACACTGGACAACCTACAAATCCACCACTTTTCCTGAATCCATCAGAGTGTGGAGATCACAGGGCAAAAATCTAAGGAAAGGCAGGGCCTCTGAGGAAAAACAGAAGGCAACACCAAGGCGGATAATTCAGATAAACTTGTTTCTAAATTGTTTACAGGCTTGGACACCTGGGTGGCTCAGTTGGTTAAGTGACTGCCTTCGGCTCAGGTCATGATCCTGGAGTCCCGGGATCAAGTCCCATATCGGGCTCCTTGCTCAGCAGGGGGTCTGCTTCTCCCTCTGACCCTCCCCCCTCTCATGTGCTCTCTCTCTCTCTCTCTCATTCTCTCTCTCAGATAAATAAAATCTTTAAAAAAATAAAATAAAATAAAATAAATTGTTTACAGGCCGGTGTGAGCTAGCTAGAGAACACAGAACCTCCGAGGCCCACACCGCAAGAGGAACAGGCTCTTCACAGGGCCTCACCAGGCACTCATGGAAAGACACAGGAAAGGCCTGCTGTCGCACTTCCGTCCTTCTCTCTCCCTCCAGAACAAACACCTTCAACTGCTGGGAAAGACATCAAACCCTGCAGTCCTCAGAGCAGTGGCAGAAACCAACTACAGCTTCAGAACAGAAAAGAAAGCCTTATGCCCCTGGGGAGGGGCAGGATCACAAACAGGTGCTACCAAGACCCGGGGACACAATGCCCACCTAAAACCGAGGCTTAGAACAGAGAACAACGACCCCTGCCTCCACCAGGCTAACTGGCATTGGGTAACAAGTTTTAACAGTCGACTATCAGAAAAGTATCCAGAATAAGACCCTCTCCGAGGTGCAGAGGGAAAATGGAAGACCTAATGCTGAAATGGAGTGGATACTGAGAAACACTCTAGCAAATCAGCTCCCACACTCAATACAACCCGACACCAGAAGAATTTAAAATCTGCTACAGTGAATGAGGATAACTATAGCAACAGCAGTCCCAAGCCCAGCTCAACTCCTGCTATAAGAAGGAAAGGTCTGCCCATTTCCAGTGATCAGAAATTATTTGTCTCAGGGGCACCTGGGTAGCTCAGTCGGTTAAGCGTCTGCCTTCAGCTCAGGTCATGATCCCAGGGTCCTGGCATCGAGCCCCACATCGGGCTCCCTGCTAGGCTGGGAGCCTCCTTCTTCCTCTCCCTCTGCTCAGTAGGGAGTCTGCTTCTCCCTCTCCCCCTCCCACCTGCTCATGCGCTCTCTCAAACAAGTGAATAAAGTTTAAAAAAAAAAATCGGGGTGCCTGGGTGGCTCAGTTGGTTAAGCATCTGCCTTCGGCTCAGGTCATGATCCCAGGGTCCTGGCATCGAGCCCCACATTGGGCTCCCTGCTAGACTGGGAGCCTGCTTCTCCCTCTCCCTCTGCCTGCCGCTCTGCCTACTTGTGCTATCTCTCTGTCAAATAAATAAATCTTTTAAAAAATAAATAAAAAAATAAAATCTTTAAAAAATTCACTTGTCTCAGACTCTACTGTCCTACACAAGATGTCCAGCTTTCACTGAAAAAACCACAAAGCACACAAAAAAACAACGACTGCGAAGAGGAAATGCAATGTAAGCCATGGAGCCCGACCTTGTTTCTTCAGCATCTGGTAAGCATCTCGGATCTTGATATCCTCTGGAAACCAGACAGTCCAACTAAAGAGTATTTCGATGACTCTTCCTTTAACTTTTTCTGTGGTCCAGGACCCTAGGTACTAAAAATAAAAAGGGAAGAATTACAAAGCTGGAAAGGACTTAGCCAGCACATGCTACCATGGACAAGATAGCCACTGAGGTCCAGGGAAGCGAGCTGCCCAAGGCTGGTGGAGACGGGCGGCACTAAAGGCCAAACCGCTGGCCCCCAGCCCCAGGGTGCCTTCTTGGTTTCCAGGAGTCAACCTCCACAACTGCTCAAGTGAAGCCCACCATATATTGGGCTAGGTTAGAGCCACAAGGGACACTCCTTTTTTGAATGAGGCAAGATTATGAAAATTTATTTGGTCTTTGTCTCTAGTTCCTGGCAGTTTCAAAAACCCTTGGAATTTCCTGAGTTGTAAGAATAGCTTTTGTTGGGGCGCGTGGGTGGCTCAGTTGGTTAAGCGACTGCCTTCGGCTCAGGTCATGATCCCAGGGTCCTGGGATCGAGCCCCACGTCGGGCTCCTTGCTCACGGGGGAGCCTGCTTCTCCCTCTCCCTCTGCTTGCTACTCCGCCTGCTTGTGCTCTCTCTCTCTCTCCGTCAAAGTAATAAATAAAATCTTTAAAAAAATAGCTTTTGTTATTCACCATGAGCCCCCTTGGACCACACGTGAGTTTATGTTCACCATTCATGGTGGGTGCTTAGTTTCAAGGGAGAGACTGACCACTTCAGAAAAACCCACCATGTGATGACAGGGTTGGAACTTTCAGCCCAACTCCCAGGAAGGCCGGGGGCTGGAGACAGAGTTCAATCCTAGCTAATGATTTAATCAAAATGCCTACATAACTTCCGATAAAAACTCGCAAACAAGGAGCCTTGGAGAGTTAGAACACATGGATGTCCTGGGAGGGTGGTGTGGAAGCTCTGGTCCCCACCCACCCCCAAGACCTTGGTCTATGGATCTCTTCCACTTACATCCTTTATAACAAAAGGACAATAGTGAATATTGTGCTTTCCTATCTTTTGTGAGTCTTTCTAGTGAATTACGAAACCTGGTGGAGGGAGTCACGGGAACCCCTGAATTTGTAGTTGGTCAGAGAGCAGGAAGTAGCCTGGGGACATCTAAGACCCCTGGCTGGTATCTGATGTAGGCAGGTCTAGGTAGGACTGAGCCCTTCATGTGTAGGGTCTATAATAACTCCGGGTAATTAGTGGCAGAACTGAAATGAATTAAACTGTACTACCCACAGATGATATCAGAGAATTGCTGAGAAGGAGCAAAGAAGGGCTCCATCTAGTTAGGTACCCAAGAACGGTGTTGCTAAGACAAGGGCCAGGAGAAAAGGTGCAGAGAGCAAGCAAGAAGGGACATAAAGCCACACTTGGAATCTCTTGCCATCGCCACCAAAAAACCTGTCCTCGAGCTTGAGTTCCTCACCCCTCTAGGCCAACCATCCCAAGGCCATCTTTAAAGGGAGAATGTGAAAATGCTGACAACCAAAGGCAGGGCTCAGCTGATGAACATGACCAGCATCCCAGACCTTGGAGAGTGTTGGGAAAGGCCATCGAGAAAGATGTGACCGCCAGCTGACCTGTGTGCTGGACTTGGGCAAACTAAGGTTTCTCACCTCCTCTGCTGTCCTGGGAATGTGGACAGAGCCATGAGACAGTGATGTGGTGTGGAGAACACCGACACAGTACCACTCACTAAACTCCCTTAAGGCCTTTATGTAAACCCTGAAGATGCGGCAGGGCTGGAGATCTACTTGCCTTGCTGCCACCCACCCAGGACAAGCGTCCTATCTAAGTTCCATTTCCGATCACACCCAGGAAGCTCCCGAGAAGGTTACGATCCAGCAAAGAGGAAAGCTTTCGCGTGCAGGACATCCCCTCTCAGCTCTGTTGTGAAGCAGGACCGGCCAACATGCTCTGTTGTGAGTGGACCAAGAAGGGGCACGGGGTTTGAAGGCTGGGGCAGGGACAGTACAGCGAGCAAGTGTAGTACAGCCAAGCCCAGGCTGCTCACCTTCGGGGACAACACTTTGATCAGCTCATTCAGGAAGCGGAATTTGGCCACCTCATTGTGGAACTTCTCCCCACAGTGGTTCACGCACATCTCCAGCACCTGCACGGACACAGGAGCCCCATGAGAAAAGGAAAAGCATTGGCTTCAGGGCTCATCTCATAGCTGATGAGCATCTGCTGGAACTATGGCTAGTGTTTCCTCAAGACGACAAAGACACTATAGTCTGAGGAAGGGTGACATTTTCAGATTAAGAAAAAATTGCTACCTGCCTGATCTTGCTGTAACTGCCAGGTTTATGCCCAGGAGAAAGCTTAGTGGGGTGTACCGAGGCCACCCCACCTTTTAAGGAGACCATGTGCGCAGGACACACTGGCTAGAGAATCCTGTCCTCCTCAGAGGCAGAGACCTCATCTGTAGCACACAAGGACTGTTAAGCCACAGGCCACCTGCTGACACTCAAACGGCAAGACAGGCCCACACATATCTTCTTTGGTTCGTGCTATTGTTTAACATTTCAAATTAGTCACAAACATCAATAAACTCAGAGAATGGATATAAAACTCTGGGTCTCTGACTCCTGGAAAACAAAGTTCCAGCAACACTAGGTCCCAACCGCACGCCTGGAGGAGCCAGCCAGTCCTGTGCCACAGCTGCCCTCTGCACACCGGCCTCACGCTCTCCAGGGTTTCCATCCTCACCCAGCAGCTCGCCCGTTTATGGGACCAGTCAGGCCCTGCTACATGAGGCACCTGGACTCGCCAGCCCTGGTCTGGGGAAGATTAAGGGAAAGAAAGCCTTCTTTTCCTTCCCCCAAAGCAGGCTCAACGCTGCTCTCTCGAAACAGACCTAGGGTGGGGCAACCCAAGCACAGAATTCGCTATCGGACGCTCTCCACCATGTGAAATGGGCCTGGGGTCCGGCGCTCTCTAGCTGTACGGCAAGAAGGCATAAGCGCAGGGGCAAGCCAAACTCACCGTTAAGGCATAAAGAGCTTCTTTCTCTTGTGGAGACTGGATCTTGTGGGCCAGTAACCAGGGCGCGTGGGTTGGGCTAAGGGAAAACAGAGAGACCTGGGCTGTGGATGGAGAGGAAGAAACCAACTGGTATGGCTGAGTACACTCCGTCAAGTGGCCTCTCTTCCAGAAGCACGGGTCCCAAAGCAGAGGTGGAGTGACGGGCACACAGCCCACACACCTGCCTCTGAAGGAGGCCAACCCCCACCCACCCTTGGTGCGGCGACAGCACCTGACATCCTCCTCCCTGCAGCCAACCCACCCCTGGAACTCCAAGCTGAGCACTCAAGGCCAGACCTGTGTGTAACCAGGTCGTGAGCAGTAGACCCTATCGGATGACAAATGTTCAGTAAGCACTGGAGTAGAAAGTGTGATCAAACTTTTCCCTCATTTCAAGATGCTGACTATGCAGCATCATGTAGATTAAACATGTGTATGGCTGACATGATTCTTCAGTTCCTATCCAGATGCTCTGGAAACAGAAACCAAATTTAAAAACAAAAACAAAACCAGAAACCAACAAAATTTCACCGTCTTCCTGCATTTTCTTAAGAAAGAGGACATTTAAAATTACGGAGAATACTCTGATCTCTTTCACATTCCTACGTAACCTAGCTACATTCTATCCCTAACATTCAGGGGTCTCCTTAGCATTAGTCACTTAGAACACTGCAATTTTTTTCCCATTTGCTATTTCCAGAAAAATAATGTTCTCAGATCATGGAGGGAAAAAAAGGAAAGAAAGCCTCACTCTCTTTCTCTTAGGTAAAACAGACCCAAGAGACCGAAGCATGCACTTTGTCTGAGGTATCCCAAGTCAAGTGTATGTGTGTGAAGGTCACCTTACCCATTGGGATCGGTGTTCACCTGGTCACAGAAATTCTGGATAGCGGACCAATCCTGTTCTGACACGCTTGGGTCTGTGGCTTTATCTGTCAAGGAAATAAAAATAAAGAATGAAGAGAAATATACACCCGCCCCTCCACAAATGAAGTGGCAGCCAAGGACAGTGCTAGCACACCTCTAGGGGATCAGACAGCTGAAAGGGACAGGACCGTGGCTATGCTGTTGGCCACCATCAGGCACAGCGTCTGGCACATGATATGGCCTCAGTGAAGACTGGCTCACTGAATGAACAAGCAAGCTTTTGTCCTGCAAGAGACTCCCCTTCCAGGGCAGCGGTTGGCCTGCGTACGCCTCCTTCATGCCCCGTCAGGACTTCCCCACTCTGGCCCTGCAATGATGAGCAAGGGTCAGCATCCGGGAGGCTACCCCCCACCTTCGTCTTCTTTTTTGAGGGGCGGGGCAGAGAGAGAAGCAGACTCCCCGCTGAGCAAGGAGCCTGATGTGGGGCTCGATCCCAGGACCCTGGGATCACGACCTGAGCTGAAGGCAATCAACCGCCTGAACCACCCAGGCGCCCCGCGGAAGGCTACTTCTAAATTTCTTAGCTATGTGATGGTAAGATTAGAACATACCACAAGGCTCTGGGTGGCTCCACTTGGTCATCTCACCATCTCCTCAAAAACAATAAACCCTAAGTCTAACCCTCAGCTTACTGAAATCCTCTCTGACCGTCCTATGTAAGAAGCTTCTCCGTGTATCAGTGGCTTGTGCGCTCTAACAAAAGGACCTCCTTGCGTTCACTCCTCAAAATGCTGTTCCCTTCTGTACACTTGCACATTCCCGGGACCCCAGATCCAATCATGCTACAATCCCTCGACGAAATCTGAGGGCACTAAGCACTGAAAGGATGGCGGCACAGCCTGAGCTACCTACAGAAGGGAGATTATCAGAAGGCCTAACAGAAGACCAGGCTCCGCTGAGGGGAGGGGTGATCTTCGACCTTCCTGGTGCTGGACGACAGCTTCTCTCCTCCCACTGCTGCTGCCTAGAATTCCCAAGAAGGGTGTCCATCCCACATGTCCTGCCCCAGACTAAACCAGGCCCTGATCTCTCACACAGGAGCTGCTGGGAGGCCTCTGTCCTATGCTTTCCTAACCCCCACCCCTCGACTCCTTGCTGTCCAACTTCTGGGGGGTTACCTACCTCTCCAGTGAAAGACCTTGCTGAAGTCTCCTGACAGAGAAGCTCTTTCAGGCTCTGTAACAGGCTGATTCTAGGGTCCTGTTTCTGGTATTACTCCTTATGCCTGAACATTTACTTCGGTCCTCTCAAAATCCTACCCATTCTTCAAGGCCCATCTGAATTTCCACCTTCCCCCAAAACCTCCTCCCACTGCTCCAGCCCCTGTGATTCTCCTCCCTTCGGGTTACTGAAGAGTCCAAGGTCAAGCAGAGTTTAACCTTTCCTGACTGCAGTCACACTTCTGTCATGTGGAAGTCATGTGTCTCCCCAGCTCAACTGAGATTCAAAAAGCCAACTCCATTCTAAGTGAAAAAAGAAGACAAGGGAGAACAAAGGAATCAGACTGTCACTGCCTATATTCCCTCACCTGTTCCCCCTCAAAGCCCCTTCCTATGCTGGATCTCGAAAATCCTATCCATCCTTTGAGCCCCAATTCAAATGCCACTTCTTCATAAAGACTTCCTTGATCTCTCTCCCACTCCCACCAAACAGAAGCCTCTCTTCCTTCTCAGAAGACCCGCATTCTACCTGCCCCTCTTATGATGGAGATGTCTAGCTCCAATTCTGACTAGCTACTTGTCCTTGGGCTCTCAGGGCCTCAGTTCCCTCCACTATGAAAGAAAACAGCACCTTCCTCAAAGGACACTCCTGAGGTTTATAAGGTAGTATCTAAAGTGCCTGGTACAGCAGCAAATATTAAAGTAACCAATAAAGGACAGCTAAATCTTATTGTTCATTATAATGCACAGTCTCTGCCTTTTACTTTAAAGGCATGCGTACGTGACTTATTGCACCTAAAGGGAATAAAACTCTAGAAGGCAAAAGCCATATATTCCCTGCAGGGCTTAGTACATTACCTTCCTCAAAGGCACAAAATAATTACTCATGAAATAAATTATTTAAAGCAGTGATTCTCAGAGATCCTGATTAAAGAGATCGGACTCATCTTAAATAATTCTGCCTGATTTTAGCTTCCTGAAGTTTTAGTGCACTACCAGGTCAAGGTTGATGTCTCTGGGCACTCAGAAACTCGACCCATGACTGGACCTAGAGCCAAGATCGGCAGAATCCAGCCTTCCTCCTCCTCACCCCCTCCCCGGCCACCAAGTGAAAAGAGTAAGACAATCACCAGCTTTTCCAAAGAAAGGAGTAAGACACATCTATGAGGTTAAGTCATGTTCCAAACCCTTAACCAAGGCAAAGCAGCAAGATCTATAAAGGATAAGTTTATTTGTATCATGAGGATTCCCTCAAAGTTTATCCCAGCCCCCAAATAGCAACAGTAGTATTAGCTGCCCTTTTTTTTTTTTGTAAAGAAGTTACCATGTACCAGCCACCAGGCTGAGTGTTTCCCAAGCCTCCCTCCCGTCCAATGTTAAGAAGGGAGAGCGCCACTATTCTCTCATGATTTTAGAGGCAAAGAAACCTGCCCAGCCACCAAAGCTGGAAAACAGCAACAAAACTGCAGTCCCAGGTCTGCCCCGAGCCAGGGCCCAAACATTTCTCTCAGTTCCTTGACAGAGACAAGGCCTCTTTGGGAACTAGTTTCAACTTTCTCGCCACTAAGTTATCAACTCCTAAAGCAGGAAGACCGGTCTCGTTCACCTTCACATCCTCCAGAATGTCACTGACACAACTATCTACTGAATGAATGATTCACCTTTTGCTCTGCAGAGCCTGGCCAGTTGGCTGGACCAGTTTTTGACTCCAGGGGAGGGCTAACCCGGTTCGGAAATAACTGGGTCTTCCATAATATAATGCCAGCCGGCAAGGCTGTTTCAGAGGCTTCCTGCGGCTCCAGAGAAAACGGCCCCCCGGCCCCCCCAAGGTCCACCCACTGGGTCTGATCAGGCCGTAGCACCCCTAGGGTGCAGGACACCCATGTGCCCCAAGGAGTGGCTGGTGGCCAGCAGGGCACAGCCAGGGAAAGACTCAAAGAACCTCTTCTCTACTTCTCAGGACTGCCACAGCCCTACCAGGGGCTACCCCAGGCATTAAAGTGGTTTCTTTAGCTGGCACTTGGGCAGGACAAAGAACACTAGTGCCACGTATCTACTTAATAAAAGCAGTGTTCCTATGCATTTCAAGCCCGCTACAGGGTGAGAGGTATTAAGAAAACAGCTGAGACCTCCAGCAGTGAGTGACATGGCTCCTCTACGAGTGACTAAATCCGAAGCCAAATCATCTCACACAGCTGCCAATGAACCACGAGAGTCCTGACTCCGGCGCCAGGAGCAGCCTATGCTGGTCAGGGGAACCCTGAGGCTTTGGGGAAGCAGTGACCTCAAGGAACACTTAGAGTTCAATCCTTCAGGAAGTCTACAGTCCAGGAGTCCTTCAGTTAAGCCCACGACGGAAACCCAAGACCCACCATGGGAATGTCCTATGCTAGGCTCCAAGATAAAGAATGAGCTCAGCCCTCAAGAAGCTGGGAGAGTATAAATAGATTGCAATTTGACCACCCCCGATCCCCAAGAGAGGCACAAAAGTGGGGCTGGAAGGAAGACAGGACATATCACCTGGGAGTAGGTCCAGGTGAAAGGAACACGGCTTTGCCGAGCACCCCACTACAAGCATGTAAGATGGCCCAGCGCCCCTGGCAGCACCGCTATGGCTACAGTCCCAAAGACCAAAGGGACCCAGCACAGCTTTTAACAGCATAGGACTGGCAACAACCTCAAAGGTCCACTAACAGGGAACTGGGTACATCAATTATTGGGATGTAGGTTCTCACTAATAAGAACGAGGCAGCTCTCTATGCAATCCTGGGGAACCACCACCAAAATCAATTAAGTTTGGGGGTCAGGGGCTGCAGAATGCACAGAAGCTGCTATTTGCATTTTTTAAAGCATGAATTTCTGGTAACACCTTCCTCCCCCCCACCTAATTTTCATTAAATTCTAGTTAGTTAACATATAGCATAATATTGGTTTCAGGAGAATTCAGTGATTCATCACTTCAGCTTCCTGATGTTCCTTTGAGGAACTACTCCTCCCCAGTTCCAAAGTTTTTCCTTTTTTTTTTCTCCTGCTAAGCCAATAGGAGTTTTTTGCCACTCACAACTAAAAACACTAATGATAATATCTAACACTACATGCCAGACACTGTTCTAAGTGCTACACATGTATTAACAACTCTAAGGTCAGATTACTACTATCTACTATCTCTATCTTCAAGACACAGCTGCCCTGCTGGACTGACGCAAGGTCTGTTAGTGACCTGAGCCTGGCAGTCCTCAGACCCCACCTACAAGGACTTCCTTCTCCATCCAGCCCAGACTCAGTGCATTTCTTCAGCTACACCCCTGTCCTTGCCACACCATCAACCCCTCTACCTCCTTGGCCTTCCATTGTACCAACTCCACTGTGCCCCACATCCCAGCAAATCCAGTTTAAACCATAGCTCACCTCCTCTGATCCTACTAGGGGTGGAGAATCACACAACCCTGAAGACTACAAGAAACACTTCTGATGTCCAATCAACACTCTGAAGTCCAAACTCAGAGGATCTCAAGTATGAAGTGGGAAGGTGATCCTGCCCTTTTCCTCTGAGGGGACATTTGGCAATATCTGGAGATGCTTTTGGTTTTATGTGGGCATTTTGGTGTGTGCTATTGGCATCTAGTGGGTTGAGGCCAGGAACTCTACTAAACATCCTATAATGCACAGGACAGACCCCCACAACACAGAATTATCAGACCCAATGTCAACAGTGTCAAGGTTGAGAGACCCTGTTCTCAAGCATCCAGGTGGGCACCCTTTTGTTTCCCTTACCAGCCGTTTCCAAACTTCCCCACCTCCTCCCTGAAGGCCCCTGTTCCATCTCTGCCCCTGACACTCAGCAGGGAATGGTGGTGGTCACACGGGACCTTATTTGCATGTGCAATCATCTTTATCTCCTTCCCCAAACATTCAGAAAAACAAAAGGTGCCCTTCCTCTCTGTGAAGCCAAGTCACCCCTTTCTGCTCTGGCTCTGACCTCCTTCAGCATCTTCAAGGCCCTCACCCATGGCTCCAGCATTGGACTTGGGATTTAAGGATATTTCCCCAAAGGAACAGTAGCATAAAGAGGGGCTTACAGGTGCCCCTCTCCTTTTGAGATCTTCTTTACACCTAAATTCCCTCTGGCTACGCTCCCTCCTTCCTTTCACAAATACCATTTAAAAAAAAAAGAAAAAAGGGCTGGTGACCAGGGGCTACACGCTCCCTACACCAGATAAACTTCATATTGCAGAATAGCTGTTGCCAACTCTTCAAAACTCAAGAGATTTCACATAAAATATAGGTTCTAGCTCTAACTGAAAAACTGCAAGATCTAGCACCTTTGGGACCATATCTGCCTAAAACAGAGGGTCTGAAGAACCCCCACCTTGGGCAGTCGGGTTCCCTGTTATCTCCTGCACCGGGTCAGCTGACAGCGTCCTCTCACCCAGTCCACCTGACTCTTTTTGGCAACTCCAGTCTAGGCCTATTCTCCACTACCTAATCAACTGCCTTCAGTCCCCACCACTTAACTCAAAGATACCTCATCAGCAACCTTTTAGTTGCCAAATTCAAAGTTCCCCCTTCTCCTGCCTCACCCTACTCCATCTTTCTGCCCACCAACTACGCCCCTCCTTTGAGATGGGTGGCTCCCCACCCCCCCAGCTTTCTCCTGCCCGTGTCAGCGCCACCTTCCCTGTCAGGCTGCTTTTCCCACCTGCTTCCTAAACGCTGAGGTTCTCCATGCTCTATCTGCAAACCTCTGCTCTTCTTAATATCCACCGCCTGCCTGGACAAGCTCTCTGCCAGTGAACTGAAGATTCCCACACTGACCTCCAGCTCCCACCCTTTCTGCAGCTGATCACCTGCCTGGACAGGGTCTCTTTTTGGCTATGCCACCTGTACCTCAAACTCCACAACGGAACCATCTTTTCCTTCTTAAACTGAGTCTTCCTCACAGGTGAGGCATTTCTAACTAACCAGTTCCCAGAGCCCGAAATCCGGGATCCATCCTAAGTTCCTCCTAGTCTCCATTCGAATGCATCAAGGCCGCTGATTGTGCCTGCTAATTATTTCTACTGTCAGCCCCTAAGCACTACCAAAACAGCTTTTTATTTACTCTCCCTGCCTGGCCTCGCCTCCCTAGCCAATTTGGCTCCACATGGCTGCAGATGAGGCTTTTAATAGGTGTACTTGATCAGACGCTCCCACTGAAAACTCCACCCCCACCCCGCCACAGGATAAAATATAAATTCCTTCCTGCAGCATCCAAACCCCTCGAAGATCTGCAGCATCCAAGCCCTGATTAGCCCCCCAGCCTCTTTTCCAGGCTCTTTGTTCTTTAGGCTTTCCACTCCAGCAGTACCCACTACTGGTTCCCAAAACGCCCCACACCCTCCCGTCCCCAGTTTTTTGCACATGGTTTCCTGTGCCGGAGTGCCTGAGATGTTGTCACCTCCACTGTCCACTCAAATGCTATGTCTGCTGTGACAATCCCCAGGTAAACCGATCAACTCCTTATCACATGTTAAAGCAAAAGCGGCCCGCACCCCAATTTGCCGTAATTATAGCAAGGTGCCCTGACTGTGTACTTGGACCCACTAAACAAGGTCTTTGTAATCAAGGACCCTGTGTTACGCACCTCAGGATTTCCAGCACCTAGCAGAGCCCAATACAAGACGCATAGTCTGTAGCCTCCCTGAATTTCAATTCCTCATCGGTTACCTGTACCGGCCAGGACTGCGGTGAGGGGGGAGTCCGGCCAGAGTAAACGTACACAAAAGGTATAAAGGGCTTGTTTTGACATTAACAACAGCAGCCTGATAGAGATCTGTACCAGCTCGAGAGAGACCGCAAGAGGCTGCCTGCGTTGCGCGAGTCTCCTTCAGTGTGAAGGTCCTCTTCTCCAAAACGGGATTAATAACAGAAGCTGCCTCTTGGGGTCGTAATGAGGATTAACAATGGCTGAAATGCTTCTAGCACAGTGCTTGACACAAAAGAAAAGCTCCACACACGCTAGCCATTACGTGAATCATGTTTGCGTGCTGCGACGACAGAGGTGGGCAGTGGCGGGGAGCAGAGTACCCAGACTCGGGTTCCACCGCCCGGCCGACTCCTGAGGCTCCTCGGGGGAACCCGGGGCGATCCCCGCACCCACGCCCCGCCCAACCCAGCCCAGCCCCCGGCCACCTGCCCGCCGCCGCCGCCGCGTCAGAAGAAAGGCCTGGGGAGGCGGGAAGCCAGGCCTCACGTGTGTTGCTGGGCCCCCGCCGAGGGGCGGCCCCGCTACTCACTGAGCCACAGCTCCAGCGCCGCCGCCGGCCCCGGGGGCCCCCCGGCCGTCTCGGCCCCCGCCGCGGCCCCTGCTGCCACTGTCGCCGCCGCCGCCATGGCCCGGACCCCGCTGCTCAAGTTGCGGCTGCCCCTGGCCTCTAGCCGCCGCCGCCGTCCGGCGCGCTCCGGGGCTGCCGACGCGGCAGGCGAGGGTTGGCACGTGACAGGGCGGGGTCTGGTGCGGCCCCGCCCACCACTCAAGCCCCGCCTCCGGCGAGCCCGGAGCCGGGGGCGCTGCCTCGCAGAGATGCCTCCCCTCCGCGGAGGCTGGGTTTGCCCAGTGTGGTTCTAGACCACGGCGGGGCCAAGGCCTATCAAGCCAACTTCTCGAGGCCTGCGTGCTCTTGTCCTTCTGGAGTAGGCTTGTCGGATGAAATGCAGGATGCCCAGTTAAATTTGAATTTCAGATAAACTAGGAATAGGGGTTTTTTTTTGGGGGGGGGGGGAGTATTTTTATCCAGGAGGGTCTTCCCCCACACCACCTTCTCTGAAATGACACACAGGCTTTCTATCATACTGCCTTATTTTCTCCTTTACACATTACACCATCGATCTACTAAATACTGCCTATTTTGTTAAAGGATAATTTTTCCCCAAAAAAGTCATGATTCTCATACATATTGAAACAAATACATGTTAAATATTTTAACTTTAATTAAATGAGGGGAACTGAGCGGATGTGGTGTTGTAATTCATTCAAAAGAGAAAAAAAGGGGGGCGCCTGGGTGGCTCATTCATTAAGCCTCTGCCTTCGGCTCAGGTCATGATCCCAGGGTTCTGGGATCAAGCTCCCTCCTCTGGAAGGAAGCCTGCTTCTCCCTCTCCCACTTCCCCTGCTTGTGTTCCCTCTCTCGCTATGTCTCTGTCAAATAAATAAAATCTCTAGGAAAAAAAAAGAAAAAAGGTTGGGGGCACCTGGGTGACTCAGTCAGTAGAGCAGGAGACTCTTGATCTTGGTGTTGGAAGTTCAAGCCCCATATTGGGTATAGAGATCATTTAAAATCTTAAAAAAAGAAAAAGGCAAATGTATACAGAGTAAAGGAGTGTTGGAACACATGGACAAATGGACACAAAACTAGCTTTTCCATCAGCAGTGAGGGCTGTCCACCCAACCTGCAGAATAATTTGCATTTCTATCAGTCATCTAGGAGTAACCACTTGTAAGAGGTCCGAGAGACAATGAAAAGCCATGCTACCTAGACGACACATAATTTTCCTTCGAAGCACGCTGTCTATACTCCATTGCCTGTTTCACCCCACTAATAAAAGCAAAAACTTTGCTCTGCACACTTCTATATCCCCAGTACCTAGAATAGTGCCTGGCATGCTAGTGCCACCAAATATTTGTTGAATGGCCAAATGAACCCTAGAAGCAGTAAGAGGTAGCTATAGGGCTTTAGGTCCCGTCTCTGAATGAGGACTTCAACCACTTCCATCTTGACCTCAGTCTGTACTTTCTAATTGATTAAGTTCTTTCCAACTTATCTCTTAACTGTGGCAAAGGCCCCACAGGAAAAGTATCCTGTGATGGGAACCAAAACTACCCCCTCAAGCAGTAAGGACGGCCCTGAGCCAGCAAGACCCCGCCCTGTGATTGACCCAAAGACATTGATGACCTGACTTCACTGCCCACCTTTGTCCCGCATGTTCCTTACATAAACCTGCAAGTATTTTCAGCACTCTGGAGACGTCTTTGAGATGTTAGTCTGCTCTGTTCCCCGCTGGCCTCATTGAAATAAATCCTTTTCTTGCTTCACCACCACTGTCTCTCTGCCTTTGGGTTTTGTCAGTAGTGAGGAACCAAACCTGATCTGTTTGGGACTCTCAGAGCCAGGGACTCTTGCAGCCTTGCGGCCCAGGGACATCCCTATCCCAAGTAAATACACAATCTAAGTGAGGTAACCACCGTTGTGCTATCTCAGTTTCAAAATAAGTCTAGCCACACACATCTCTGACAGATTGCTGCCCATAGCACCCTTCCACATGGAAACTGTCATGAAAGCTCTGAACAAGAGACGGAAGTGCTGTTTGCCAGCTTCTATGCTAAACCTTTTACAGTTGTTACCGGTCTTGATAAACTCGCGCTGCTGTAACAGAATACCCCAGACTCGGCGGCCTAAACAAGACGTTTTCTCACAGGTCTGGAGGCTGGAAAGTCCAAGATAAGGTGCCGCAGATTGGGTCCCTGGTAAGACCCCACTTCCTGGTTTGCAGAGGGCTGCCATTTTGCTGTGTGCTTCCAAGGTGGAGGGACAGGGTGAGAGAGAGAGTATGCATTGTGGTCTCTTCCTCTTATAAAGATACTAATCTCTTCCTGAGGGCTCCACCTTTGTGACCACATCTAAACCTAATTAACTCCTAAAGTCCCACCTCCAAATACCACCACATATAGAGGCTTAGAGCTTCAGCATATGAATTTTCAGGGGACAGCTTCCACCTATAACATTATTCATATAGCGGAAATTTTGTTTTTCAAAGAATTGTCTATAGCGTACCCTTCTGTGTTCTTTTTGGTTCTTTGGGAATTATGTTACATCTCTGTAAACTGTAGATAACTGAAAGCAATTAAAAATTATTCTTGTCTATAGGCTTGCAAATGAATTGTCCTGGGAAAATACAACCTGCTCTACGTGGAAAAACCAGTTTGTCTCCACCTGCACATTCATTTCAATATTCCTGATCTATAAATTTGTCCTGTGGATTCTCCTTTGAACTGGTTGTAACATCTCCTCAGCGTCTTCACTAATGAGTCAAATAAAATCTTTAACACATGTTCATCTCTTGAAAATTCTAAACACCTGGCGACGCTAGAGCTGGGTTTCCTCACTGCAACAAATGTCTGGAGATGACTGGAGACTGCGCCCCATAGAGGGGCAGGAACTCTCCACTGGCCAAGGACCATTCATCACTTCTTAGATATATCTTACACCTGGCTTACGTTACTTACGTGATTTTAGGCAACCACACTCATTCAACATTTTGACTAGTGGATCAGTTTTCCAACTGGCCTTTGTTAGAATAACCTGGAGGGCTTGTTAAAACACATCATGCAGGGCCCAACCCACACAGTTTCTAATTCAGTAGGTCTGGGACGAAGCCCAAGAATCTGTCTTTCTCATTAGTCTCCAGGCGATGCTGATGCCGCTGGCCTAGGGACTGCAACAGAAAGATAAAAGGTAAGTGGGCAATAGGGAAGTGGATTGGGAGTTCAGGGCAGTGGTTGGGTTTACATACCATCGAACTTCTGGCACTTTATAGATGCAAAATAATTATTGGTGGAACTGGAATCCTCTGGCTCTCCCTATCTAGCTCTAAGCACCAGATGTTAACTAATTGTACCTGAAGTCCTTTCTTTTGTATGTCCTGTTCCTTCAGCCTGGAAAGACCTCCCTCTGCTGTCAAACTGTCAGCGTGGAGCTGCCAGAGTTAGCCAATAAAAATAGAGGAAGCCCAGTTAAATCTGAATTTCAGACACACAATTTTTTAGCACAAGTATGTTCCAAATATTGCCTGGGACATACTTATACTAAGACAATTACTATTTATCTGAAATTGAAATCAAAAGGCAAAACCCAACTCCTTCTAAAGGAAGTGTTCCCCGACTGGCTTTCCCCCCCCACCCCCACCCAAGGATTCCATATCCCTGTAGCAATTCCATTGCCTCTCCACCATCAGCTCCACACCTGTATTACGGCAATTGTTAGTCTCATGTGAGACTCTCATCTCTTTGAGGTGGGGGACCTTCTCTTTTGAGAAGGTGGGAGGGGGAGAGGGAGAAGCAGACTCCTGCTGAGCAGGGAGCCCAATGTGGAGGCTCGATCTCAGGACTCTGGGATCATGACGCGAACCGAAGGCAGACGCTTAACTGACTGAGCCACCCAGGCGCCCCTGAATGTCTGTAATTAATGAGGCTTTATTATTCCTCTCCACATCCCCAGGCCTCAGAGGGCCTGGCACAAGAGGTATTTGTCAAATGAATGAATACAGACAGGATTGAATGGACTCGGTTTAGAGGGGTTCTCCAGGTGATGACAGCTTCCCCTCCTTGGCTGGGCTGTCCTACTGCCATCAGGATCGGGAGAGTGGTGGGTGGGGGTGGAGCTGAGGGGGGCTCTGGCCTAGAGGGAAAGGCCGTGACCCTAACATTTGGCAGGGCTATGACGGATAAGTTGAAGATCCCCCAGGCCGTGATAATGAGCATGAGTGCCAAAACAAACTTGTACTGACTTCCAAATTAAAAAAACACATTCATATCCGGTGATTCACTAATGACAATAGTTACCACCAGTGATGTGAAGTTCCTGGAACACTGCATAGCAGCATTCTCACTAAACGTAGCGACTTCGGCAAAGTCAGCCCCTGTGCTCTTGACTGCTCACCCTGACCATCTGATCCGATCAGAGGTGGATCTGGGCTTTGACTCCACAGTGTCTCTGAGCAGCCACTGCGTGAAGCACAGCTGTTCTCAGCACCAGGGGTACAATGGTGAAGACAGGACGCCCCCGTTCTCCTGGACTTTACTATCTGACACCAGCAAATAACCGCAGAACTCCTTACATACACAATTAGTTATGCAATCAATTCCAATTGTGTGCTTTGGAAAAGAGGGTGCTGATGATGAAAGACAACAGGAAGACCTCCCAGGAAGAAGTCAGAGGCTTCCCTGATGTGATAGCGGAGCTGAGATCTGGAGGCTAGGAAGGAGGCAACCAGGCAAAACCAGAGAAGAGTGGGGAGAACAGTAGTATGAAGGCAGGAAGGAGATGTGCCTGGGGACCTCGGGAAGGCATATGTGGTTGGAGGCCAGACAAGAGGGCACGTGAGGGGCCGTAAAGGGTGAAGTGCAGCTGGGGAGACAGACCAGGGTCAGGCTGTGATGAGGAAGCGCGGCTTCATCCGGACAACAGTCCTCCTCCTTGCCTCATTTTCCAATCCTCTCCTATCAGGGCTCCCTGCTTCTGGTCTGGTTCTGCTCCAATCTCTCTGCAGCAAAGCTGCCAGGAGGAGCTTTCAAATAATCCACAAATCCGATCCTGTCGCTTCCCAAAACCTTTCAATGGCTCCTCACCTTCCACCTCCTGACGACTTAACCCATCTCTTCACTAACGGAACCCACAATTTGTTCAAGTGCCCAGGGTTCCCCAACCCAGCCGTGGACCTCAAGGAAGAGTGGGCCCTGCCCCCACTCTGGGTCTGACTGACCTATGAGGATGCCTCCCCCACTTTCCCAGAAGTTCAAGAATGGGGAAGTAAAGCAGGGAAGGGTGCTTGGAGAAAAGTTTCTTTGCATTTGGGGGAGAGCGGCAGAAAGCCACTACCTCTGACAGCACATGAAGGAGGAAGTGCAGAGAGGCCCAACCATTTTAGGCAAGCCAACTGTCAGCACAGGAAACCAACCCAAGGCTATTGGCTGGGGCCAATACAGCAGAGATGGAAATGGAAAGACCCGGGGTCCTTACTGATGTCACTGGACGTTTAATTAACCAACCCTAGAGCCTGCCTTACCCCCTGAACTTCCTGTTACATGAAATACTAAATCTTATTTTAAGCTGGTTTGAATCTGGGGTTTTTTTTGTTGTTGTTATTTGCATCAGATGGCACCCTGATACCCTTAACCTGGCAAAGAAGGGCCATTTGGGGGGGCACCTGGGTGGCTTAGTCGGTTAAGTGTCTGCCTTCGGCTCAGGTCATGATCCCAAGGGCCTGGGATTGAGCCCCACTTTGGTGGGGGGTGGTCCCTGCTCAGCGGGGAGCCTGCTTCTCCCTCTGCCCTCCCCCTGCTCATGCTCTTTCTCTGTCAGATAAATTTAAAAAAAATCTTAAAAAAAAAAAAAGGGCCATTTGGAATTTCCCTCTGCTTGGTTTCTCAGCCACTTCTACACCTCCTCAACTCCTACTCTTACATGCTCACCTTTGTGAAGTTCTCCTCTCCTCCTTCTACTTGGAATACCCTTCCAACCCCCACAGACCTGGGAAACTCCTACTCATCCTTTAGAACACTGTTCAAAGGTCACTTCATCTGTAAAGCCTTCTAGTACCCCTGAACAGATTAAAAGCCGCCCTCTCTGGACCCTCCTATTACCCAGAGGGTCCTCACTTTCTAAGTATTCATCACTCTTGGTCCCTGGGAAGGTAGGAATTTTGTCATATGACAAATATATTAACTGATGAATAGATGACTTCCATTTGTCCCCACCCTTCACTTCAGAGTCTTTGTCCAAAGTCTGTCTCATAGAGGGACGCCTGGCTGGCTCAGTCAGTAGAGCATGTGACTCTTAATCTTGGGGTTGTGGGTTCAGGCCCTACATAGGGTGTAGAGATTACTTAGAAATAAAATCTTAAAAAAAAAATATGCTATGTCTCATAGATAGTTGGATTCAAAAAGCAAATCACAGGCCACAGACCAGCCTGCTAACCACAATTGCAAATCTTGCAAAGCGATGCTGGGAAACTATTAAATTTGGCAGTTAGACCAGCTGAAGACTGCCACTTCTAAACACACTGGTCTGACTGATGGGGCCCTTATTTCTTCCATAAGATCCTCACTTGATTCCCTACTATGTGTCAGGCAATAGGCCAGGCACCATGGTTATAACCAAGAATGAGACAAACTGCCTGCCTTTCTTAATCTTACATTCTTTAGAGTAAGGGAGGCAGTAAACACGTACAAGTATGCTATATACTTTCATATAGTAATAAGTATTACGCAGAAACAAAGTAGGATAAAGGCAATGGAAATGAAATTCCAAATGTGGTTACAGAACAATAATTTTCTAGAAAAGATCCTCTCTGAGGGACACTGACAGAGAATGTGCTGAGGGGAAGGAACCACTCTCCCTACTCAGTACAGTGGGCCCCCCTGCAGCCACGGTCCTATTGTGTGACTCTGTCCCACTGGCCACAGTTGACTGGACCATGAGTAGACAGCTGACCCAAGTGAGGCCATCAGATTCCTCCTGGGAATCTGGACATGGAATACTAGATAAGAGAGAGGATTCTGCTGTAGGGCTGGGGCAGTTATTGGCCAAGTACAGAGAGAAAGAAAAAGCTGGCCTGCAGAAGGAAGACGAGGGGAGCAGACCCAGCTGAATGTTAGAGACTGTAGTCTCAGAGGGACAAAAGTGAGGTTCTTGAGTCCCAGTGGGTTGGCAGGTACAGATTCCAGGCTCTCGAAAGGTCCAGCTGGAAGTCCTCCTGTTTGATCTGTGAGAGTCCTACCTCTCTGATAAATTCCTTTTGCAGTTCAAGTTAGTCTGAGTGGGGGGTGGGGCGTGGCCTGGGTGGCTTGGTCAGTTAAGGGTCTGCCTTAGGCTCAGGTCATGATCTCTGGGTCCTGGGATTGAGCCGTGTTGGGCTTCCCGCTCAGCGGGGTGTCTGCTTCTCCCTCTCCCACTGCCCCTCCCCCTGCTCCTTCTCTGTCAAATAAATAATCTTTTTTTTTTTTTAAAGTTAGTCTGAATGTTTCTATGCTTTACAATCAAGATCACCCTTTCTAAGAATGGAAATACCGGTGGTGATGATGATGGTAATAGATAACACCGGTTAAGTGCCAATCACTGTTTTAAGAACTTTCCATATAACATCTATTTTAATCCTTACGACTCTTTGAGACAGGAACACTTGCCAGCCCCATTTTATAGACGAGGAAACTGAGGTCCAGAAGTCACATGGTGAGTAGATGGTAGAACTGGCTTTTGAGTCTAGTAGTTGGCCTCCATGGCCTTTACCACTTCACCATGCTCTCAGAAGCCTGGGGGAATGGACTTGAGGTTATTTCCAATGTGTGGAGTCCCTTCACCCACACCCACGGTACTGAGCAAAACCCCAGTGTGAAGACACATGCCGCTTTTTAGACAGCTCCCTCCAACTGAGAAAGCGGCATCAGCTTATCAATTCATGAGCCGGTTTCTCATAACCATGCTTGTGCCGTAGAAGCAGAGGCCCCGATGTCACTCCGTAGCTAAGACTTGAGCTTGGACTGTGGGTTGTCATAAGCCTGAGTTTAAATCCTTGCTTTGCCTCATACTGTAACCTTGGGACAGTTCATGAACTCTTCTGAGCCTCAGTTTCCCCACTTATAACACAAATAAGAATACCTCTCTCATGGGGTTGTGGAAACTGAATGGCGATGGGCTACAGTGTTTCTCATTTGGAGGCTGGCTGCCACGTGGGGAAAGTCTAGAAGCCCCAGCAGGATCTTTCAAAAAAAATTTTTATTTTATTTTTTTAAAGATTTTATTTATTTATTTGACAGAGAGGCAGGGAGAGAGGGAACACAAGCGGAGAAGCAGGCTTCCCACTGAGGAGGGAGCCTGATGCGGGACTCAATCCCAGGACTCTGGGATCATGACCTAAGCTGAAGGCAGATAGATGCTTAATGACTGAGCCACCCAGGTGCCTCCCCCCCAAATTTTTATTTTATTTATTCTTTTTCCAGTACGGTCTTTATAGACAGTCATCATCTTCCTTCCACTTTAGCCATTCCTATTTACCCCAGTAAGAACATCTATTTCAGGAGCACCTCGCTGGCTCAGTTGGAAGAGCATGAGACTTGATCTTGGAGTTGTGAATTTGAGCCCCATTTTGGGCACAGAAATTACTTAAATAAAAAAATAATAAATAAAAAGAACATCTTATTTCAGAAACCTGTAGACAATGACTTACAAAAATGGGCAGAAGGAAGAGGTGGATATGAAGAAAAAGGTGTAAAACAGGCAGGGCGAAGGTCCAGTCCAAGGACCAGGCCTGGAGAACTGGAAAAGAGAAAGAGATGACCTTTAGAGAAGGAGACACAGGATGCCCCAAGGGCAAGGACCAAGAGCAGTATAAAACGCAGTGCTCACCCTTGGCAGACGGTCACTTCTCCTTTTACAAGCCCCAGAGGGTCTGCCGTCCAGTTCAGCCCTGCATGTACCAGCCATCCTTCCCTGCTCCACATCCCAACGGGGCCCGAGAACCGAGACCCATGTGTCCAGGCAGCTGCCGCGCTGTCAGGGGCTAACCTGCATCCCCTCAACACTCATGCTGAAGCCCTAACCCCCAGGACCTCAACGTGACTGGATGTGGAGACAGGATCCCTAAAGGGGTGATTAAGTTATAATTGGGCCATTAGGGTGGGCCTTACTCCAACCTGACCCATGTCCTTCTAAGAAGAGATGTGAACACCCGGAGAGATGCCAAGACATGCCCTGAAGAAAGACCACGTGAGGACACAGAGAGAAGGTGGCCATGGGCAAGCCAAGGAGAGAGGCCTCTGGGAAGGCGCAACTGCTGACACCTTGAGCTTGGACTCCCAGACTCCAGAACTGTGAGAAAATAATTTTCTGTTGCTCCAGCCACCTGTCTGGCAGCCTAAGCTGAATGTGAACCAGCCCCTAACCTGTGCCGTATAACAAGCTGTCCGAACCAGACACGAGGTGAGAAGAATCCATAAATGCACTGTGAGCACCCGCAGACTGTTTCCTCTCGGGGTTCCTTCCACGAGCTTCCCGTTGGGCTCCAGGCCCCTCCGCTTCCCTTGGTGTGCACCCGCAGACTGTTTCCTCTCGGGGTTCCTTCCACGAGCTTCCTGATGGGCTCCAGGCCCCTCCGCTTCCCTCTGAAGGTGGTTTCCAGGCCCATCCAGGTTCCTAGGGCCACCTTCACTGTCCTGCACATCTGCTCTCTAGCTGGAAAGCACCTTCTGTATTCGTTCCCGCACTTCCTTCGCTCCCAAGGACACCATCATCTCGGCTACAGGGGGCCCTTGCTAAGAACGAAAAAAGAAAACACTGCCTCATTGCCTTAAGCTGCTGAAAGAGCAAACGCCCAGTCTTGGTCTGCAGGCGCTCTGCCCCAGGCCAACCCCAGTACGGCAGCCCGCCCCTCAAGGGGCAGTTAGCCTTCTATTGTCTTTACTTTCTGCGGCTGAGGCTGGCTCCCAGGAGCCTGTATTCCTGTGCTGGTATGTTTACTGCCCCCGTTCAACCACCAGCTCCATACAGGTAGGGAGTAGGTGTGTTTCATTAACTGCTGTACCCATTGCACCCAGCACGGTGCTTGCACATAGTAGGTACTCCATAAATACTATCTGCTAAGTGACTGAAGGGAACGATCCCGCTTCATTTGTCTTTGTATCCCTGAGCCAGAGTTTAGTGCCGGCCAGTGAATGCCAGCTGAATGGATGAATGAGGGGCTCCAGGGAACCGTCCCGCCCATCTGCCCACCTACCAGCTGTCCGCTGAGGGCCACTCGGAGGAGCTGCATCACAGTACTGTGTTTGGTCCCTTCCAGGCCTTCGGATACCTTCCTCAGTTCGCTATTCAGCATGTCCTGAGTTAAGCTCGTACCGGGTCCTTCCAAAAGCCTAGAAAAGAGGAATGCCTGGCTGGCTCAGTTGGAACAGCATGCGACTCTCGATCTCAGGGTTGTGAGTTCGAGCCGCACGTTGTGTGCAGAGATTACTAAAAAAAATAAACAGGGGCAACTTGGTGCTCAGTCGGTTAAACATCTGACTCTTGTCAGCTCAGGTCTTGATTTGAGATCGTAAGTTCAAGCCCCGCACTGGGCTCTACACTGGGCATGGAGCCTACTTAATAATAGTAACAATTAAATAAATAAATAAACTTAAAAAAAACTGAACAAAAGCCTAGGAAAGAGCCAATCTATGGGGGCCAGTGGCAAGCAGGTGAAAGGGAGAATTTCAGAAGATGAACAGTTAGCTGTGACTCTTCAAGCCTGCTTGGGGGAGAAGGGAGGGAAGGAAGATCTATTACCCCCACCCCCATCCAAGTTGAGGAAGAAAAATCACCAAGAGACCATATACACAGATAATCCAAGCACAATATAGGAAAACTCCATAATAAGAGGTTTTACTAATTTCTACCTCAGTATTATGTGATCTCTATGCCTCAGTTTTCTCATCTGTAAAGTGGGGATAGTAAGAGTGTCTGTACCTCACAGGAAGCCCTCTGGGAAATTACCTGAAATGCAGTGGAGGGAAGGCTCTGGGGGAGTGTATAGCACACAAGGGCAGGAAGAAAGATTTCAGGAGACCCCAGCTCCTGTAACATCACTGCCACCAACTTGCTACAAACATCCTTTCTTTTTTTTTTAATTTTTAGGGCAGCAACCATGCTCTTGCACTCTCCCTTGCCTCCACTCTGGGACACAATGAGATCCCGGGCCTATCAGGTCTGCACATCCATGCTGGCCTTTATGAACTGCCCAGTGAAGTCACAGATGCCGCCTTCCCAGCGGCCAGGAACAGCATCTTGCACAGTGGCATGGAGAGGGAGGTGACCCCAGCCTGCATGCATTTCCAGAAGGCCTTGTACTCGGCAGACTGCTGCACCTGGACGTGATGAAGTAGGGGAAGTAGGCCAGGGTGAAGCAGTTCCCAAAGTGGAAGAGGGTCACAGTGCCCGCTGCCCGGGGCCACCAGAGCACAGGTCTCTGCATGAGCCGGCCTGGCGCCCCCTTCTTGCTACAACCATCCTTTGCCTACAAGTTGAAGTACTCAAGACCTAAAATCCAATAGGCCAGTCACTGCTCTCTGCTCTCCTGGCAGGCCAGCTGGGATCCTCTCTCACAAGTGCGCTTGAGTTTCAAGAGACTCCCCAATCACTTAGAGCTGGATTTGCCAAAAAAGAATAACAACAACAACTCTGAGTTGGAGCATAAGACAGACGCAGGGTGGGGTGGGTCTATTTGATGGCACCTTGCCAGTTCCCTTCAGCTACTATGGAGACTCCAACTGGAAATGCTGCCCAGGAGCTGGAGCTGGAGAGCTTTGCTGGTGCGGACGATCCATGATGCCTGTGATACCGCCTGTGCACATTGGGGTCGAGAGAGCCCCCTTCCAAGGCTGGGCTTTGTGCGGGGGCTACTGGCCCCGGGGAACCACGTTCAGAAGTAACGCGAAGAGACTGCCGCTTCGCACTGACAGATTCCCTCCTTAACTCCGCATTTGAGCAACTGAGTTTCAGTGGGAGGCAAAAGTAATCATTCTTACTACATCGTTAACTGGGCCACATGATGACTGTTATTTCCAAACTCCAGGAGACAAAATCCGGAAGATATAAAATGTAACGTGGGAAAAAATAGGTACTCTCCTCCATGTCACTGTGGGGAAGCAGGCTGCCAAGGAGCTGGTGAAAGAGTGACAGGCCCCAGGTGGCCAACAATGGCAGCTCAGGAAACGTCAGAGCTGGCCCAGAGCTTGGCGTGGGCACAGAAGGGACTTCGAGAAATCTGGCAGCTCTGGAATGCTTGAGTATTGGTTTTCCTGCCTTGAGTGGGAGCACCAGACTGTCTCTGAAATCTAACCCCATGGCAGGGATGGGAGTTAAGGCAATGGTCCTGGTGAATCAGAACTAAGGGCCCCTATGGTAGAATGCCATAAATTAAGGGAGTATTAATAATAATGGCTCTTGGGAATTTATCCTGGAGATATACTTGCAAACCTGCTTAATGATGTCTATACACAGCTATTCATTGCAGCATTGTTTGTAACAGTAAAATCTGGAAGCAGTCCAAATGTCTATCAATAGGAAATGAGTTAAATAAATTATGGTAAAGTGGTTTCATAATGGGATAGGTGTAGCTGTAGAAAAGAATGAGAATGCTCTCTAAGCACTGGGCAGATCCACAGTATCTTAAGTGAAACAAACCAAAGACAGAACAGAACAGTGTTACCGTATTTTTGTGTGAAAAAGAAGGATCATTTAGATATAATTAGGAATAGTAGTAATGTACAGAGGGTTTGGAAACTGGGTGGATGGGGGACAAGGATAGAAATGGGTTTCCCAATTATCTACCTTTCTTATACTTTCTAGGCTTTAAAACCAGGTTTGAGAGATTTGAACGTGTTCATGATCAAAATACTAAATTTAAAATTTAAGAACTTCTAAGAACGGAGTTATATAAACATACTGTTGAATACTCTCACATTATGCAAAGGAAACTGCTAAGCGTGGTGCATTTCTGTTGGGAGCTGGAGTAGGACGGAAAACACACTTTTTGCTATAGACCTTCTTGTACCATTTGTACATTACTGTATTTTTTGCCATGTGCTTGTTTTCTTATCACTTCCAAATATGTATTAAAATATATTGAGGTTTCCAGGTATCAGGCACTGTCCAAGTACTTTGCACAGAGAAACATATGGCCTTGTAGTCCCAGCCTGCCTGGGTTTGAATCCCTGCTCCTTCAACTTATTATTATTTTAGACAAGTTACTTAGCCTCTCTGTGTTTCAATTTTCTCATCTATAAAATGGAGATAACGTTTTAACCTGAGACTTCATTAGTTGCTGTGAAGTACACACACACACACACACACACCCCTCACATATACATATGTATACGTACCTAATGTATAGAATATATATAATAGCCTGCTACAGGCATGTACATAAGCAAACACTTATTACCTACTTTAACCTTCACAATAAAGGTGAGAGAAGGTAAATAAAAAGGACACTGTGGGTTTTGCTGCCCAGCATCCATCTGCCTTTCTCCTGATACCCCAAATCTCCTTGGGGAATCACCTGGCTCCCATTCTCAGCCCATGTGCCCTGACTGGGGGTCCATTTAGAGCCCAGGAGATGATGAGCTAACCTACGCTGATTGGCACGTCACACTCTCCAGGCTTTGATGACTGGCTCGGGGACAGGAAAACGAGGCTACCCGGACTCTTGTCAGCGTCCATCTCAAGACACAGCTGAGGCTTTGCAGTGTTGGTGCGGTCTTACAGCCAGAGTGCAGATAGGAGAGAGGCTGCCAGTGGTCCCTTCTATCCTTTCTCCCTTTCGTATGCAGTGATAAAATTTTTAGCCAGCCTCATGGCTGCCGAGTTAAAAAATCTATATTTTCCATGTGTGTGGCTTGGTGTGGCCACCAAGACAGGCGTTCTAGCCAGCAGGATACGAGTGGAAATGAATGTGTAACTCTTAAGTCAGGTCCGTAAGGGGAAGGAGCGTCCTGTCCTTCCCTTTTTCCTCCTTCCTCTTCTGGCTGAACTGTGAATGATCTGTGAGCCACCATGCACCACATGGACAAGAGCAAAATCTAGGGACAGCAGGACCCTGGAGACCTGGGAAAAGCTCTTCAGCCCTGGATGGCCACTTCCATATGGGGTAAGCACTATCGTTTCTGTTGTCTGGTAGAAAGTCCTACCCTTCACCCACCCAAAGCAGAGTCCTTGCAGAAAAAGGAGCCAGTACGAAGAAGTACAGAGCAGAAAACCAAAGGGACAGAGAGAAAAAGTAGGTCTTGGTGACATATTTTTGGCCCCTGCATGAGACTGGGCTTAAGCCAGCTTTGGTTGTATTTCTGTTCCTGTTCACAGGTAAGAACTATGGTGTCATCTCTACCTTGGAGACGAGGAAATGGGAGCTTAAAGAGGTGCAGTAAGTTGGCCACAGTGATGCCGTGTGGGCAGGAGAATAACCGGGTAAGTGGCGGTACTGGGAGGGAACACAGGGAGACCCAACCCCAAAGCCCAAACACGCCGCCCCTTCCGGGGAGGGTCTGGGTTCTTCTGGGGAAGCCCCCCTGCCAAACAGAGCCAGTCAGCGATCATCTTGTCCAAACCCTCTTGCCAGCCATGGGGTGGTATGGGGGCCCCACAGCCAGCCCTGAGGAAGGGGGCCCCGGGAAAGGGAAGTCAGGTGCGGAGCCTTGAGCTTGGCCTGTAGGAACTCACCCCAGCACGCGTTTGGCAATCACGTCCACTTTCTCCGAAATGGTGCCCAGTTGCACTAGGCCCACAGCAGGCCGAGTCCACAGGTAGGAGTGTGCCGGGGAGACCAGATCCTGCAGACGGCAAATGTGACCCTAGGGGGAAGAGGCAGTCGTTGGATGTGCTGTGGACAGGGCTCGGACACACTCGGACACAGTGGGGGTGCCACCCACTCCTTCAGTCTCCCGGAGCTCCCCGACACCACACCTGTCTCAGCAGGATGATCCTCTCCACGTAGGCCGGGTCCAGGACCTCCCTGTCTTGCAGCTGGCTCCCGAACGTCTCCTCCACCAGGGCTTGCAGCTTCCCCACCAGCTGGCACCTCTGGGTCTCGTTGCTCACCAGCCGACAGAGGTGCAGCCTATAAGAGAAGCCGAGGGACCGTCCTGACACTGGCATCGCCAGCCCGCCCAAACCCTCTCTCCCCAGGGGAGCAGGGCTGGGGGGGGGGGCGGGTTGGAAGAATGACACATGATGTGAGCTGCCCCTCCCACAGCCTAGAAACTGAATATATACAGGAAAGGGATCTGGCCAAGGTCCGCAGCAGCCTGAGAGCCCCAAGCAACCCAGAAGGATATCCTGTTTTCAGTGTTTCTAAAATAGGAGCTAACATTTTAAACTAGGAAGAGATCACATAAAAATAGAGATTTCTGTCATCTCTCTCAGGAAATCCAAAGATCTGGCTGCAAAGGGCCCGAATTTCCCAAGCTTCAGTGGCTAGTGCAGAGTGGAGGCTGCCTGGCTCACAGGCACAGCATGCTCCAGTTTGCCAGGCCCTCTGCTCCCCAGTGCCTCTCCCGGCCGGCCACCCGCCCCTGTGCCACCGGCCTGGTCTCTATAGGCACCCGAGTTTACAAGGCAGACTCTGCAAGTGTCTTAAAGCATGGGGCTCTGGCACAAAGAGGCAGAGGTCAAGAATACAGATTTCTAGGGCGCCTGGGTGGCTCAGTTGGTTAAGCGACTGCCTTCAGCTCAGGTCATGATCCCAGGGTCCTGGGATCGAGTCCCACATCGGGCTCCCTGCTCTGCGGGGAGCCTGCTTCTCCCTCTCCCACTCCCCCTGCTTGTGTTCCCTCTCTCGCTGTGTCTCTCTGTCAAATAAATAAATAAATAAATAAATAAATAAATAAATAAAAAGAATACAGATTTCTAGGATTCGAAGCCAGGAGACAGTTCAGAGGACAGAGTTCCTTCAATCCAGGGCTCACAGTTAAAAAGTTCAGGTTTTCTTGTCAGTTCGAATGTTCTCTTTTCCAGAATTCTTCTAACTGCCTTGTTCCCTCTCTTTGGAAGCAGCAAAGCCTCTAAGCAGGCCCTGTCAGTCCTCAGTCCCCTCCCTAGGCTGCCCTCATCGTGTCCCCAGCAATGTCGGAGGGACCCGAGAAGGAGAGGTACAGGGCTGAGGACCAATCTGCAGGAGCTTGGCCCTTGTCCTTGACATGGAAGGCAGGCAGCAGTGGTGGGTGAGTTATGTCCTGGGCTCTGGAACCGGACAGGCCTGCGGATCAGACCAGCCCTGTGAGATGTCTGCTGCAAGTTACAGGAACATTTAAAGCCTCAGGATGCTCACGATCATGTGGGGATGACGGGGGAAGGGAGGGCTCTGTCACAGGGCACTGTGCAGATTAAATGAGGGACCATCTGTAAAGCACAGAGCTGGAGATGGGCAGGGAGTCAGAACAGAGGCTCCCGCACATCAGCGGTGGAAGGAGGAGACCCTCTGGGAAGCTATCTAGAGAGCGCACAACTATCTAAAAAACATAATGATTTTTTTTTAATAGGTTTTTTTTTTTTTAAGATTTTATTTGACAGAAAGAGATACAGCGAGAGAGGGAACACAAGCAGGGGGGGGTAGGAGAGGGAGAAGCAGGCTTCCCGCAGAGCCGGGAGCCCGATGATGAGCCAAAGGCAAACGCTTAACGACCGAGCCACCCAGGCGCCCCCATAATGATTTTCTTAAAAAGGAATTAATACCACATGCTGAAACTGTTCCTAAGACCGCCTCAGCAGCGAGATGAGACAGTAGAAAGAAAGCAATCAAGAGACCCTAGTGGCCAAGCTTGAGATAACACGCATCAGGGCCAGGGCCTGGGAGGCGGTAAGTGCTAGACAGACGGTCATTACTGTTACTACTCCCACCATACCCCTAGTACTGCTCTGACAACTACTATTACTACCTTTACTACCAGCACGGAAATAATCACAGCAGTGGCTTGATGCCAGAAACATCTAAACGTGACAGCTTTGGCTGCATTAACTTCATGAGCGTCAGTTCCAACACTGCACCTCCTCCCTGATTCACGCTGAGCAAAGCCCATCTCTGGCTGCCCTCACGCTTCGGGGGGACTAGAATGGGTCACCAGGTATCTCCCCCATTCTGTCCCCATTTCCCTGAGATGCTGCTTTCCCTACAATCAGTAAAGTAGGGTACAAGTTGCATTCGCTCTTGAATGCCCCATTCGAGAGATGCCTGCTATTTACTGTGTGAACTTGGGCTAGTTATGGAACTGCCCTAGGTCTCGGTTTCTGCGTATGCAAAATAGAGCAGAGTCAGGCAACTGACCTCAGAGGTCTAATGGGAGAAATAAATGAAGTAACATCCTTAAAACACCTGCAGTCAATGTGAACTCTCTGGGCTCATGCAAGTAAAGCACTAAGGAGAGCCTGTCCCCAAACCGGTGCTCAGGACATGGCATCAATGAGTCCCTTGTCCCTTAAGTACACATCTGTCCACTGGCTTTACCACTGAGACCCTTAGATGGATATGTCAACAGTGACCTGAACCGTAACTGGATTTAGAGGTGTGAGTGAAGAACTACGTGAAATGTACAACAGGTGCCATGAGACAGCGCTCATTCACTGCTGGCTGCGGGAGCTGGGGGGTGATTCTGAGATGAAGATGCCCCTTCTCCAGGCCGTGGTTAACAGAATCCATGCCAGGGATGGCCGGGACAATAGTAATGACAAAAACAGCACCTACTATTTACTGAACACTTTCTATGTGCCAGGGGCTGTGCAAAGTACTTTGACGCAACGTTTAACTGAACTCTTACGACAACTGCACAAGGTGGGTACTGTTATCAGTCCCATGTTCGAGAAGAGGAAACAGAGGATCCAAGAGATTAGGTGACTTACATGCTCTGTGTCAGGTCACAGAATGGTAGACACCTGAGCCCACAATCAAAATCAGGTCCATGTGACTCCAAAGCCCACTATACCCTCTGCCCTGGAGACCCATCATTAGCAAGAAAGTCCTTTTCTACCAGAGTTCCCCCCCCCCCCCGGCCAAGGTTCCCCACTCACCTGTTGAATTCTGGGAGCTTCTCCAGGTCCAACAGGGCTGAGTGGCAGGTGATCCGGGTCAGGTCAAACTGTGTTACCAATTCTGGCAAGGTCCTGCCCATCTGGTTCTCTGTAAGTAGGCACGCCCAGCCTCAGCCCCCTGCCTCTCCTTTCAATCACAAGGGAGGCTGGGTGAGCATGTTCTGGGTTCCCCATTGCATTCCGACCAAAGGGATTCAACTTCTAGCTCTTTTATAGATCAAGGATCTGAATGAGCTTTCATGTACAGAAAGGATTCTGTCCCTCAGAAAAAGCAAGTTTGAAAACAATCAGGCTAAACGACCCTCACTGCCCCCCCAAAGATGCGAGCTGCAGGAACAGCATGCTCATGGCCTGGCTGTACCCAGAGATTCTGATTCCACTGGGTTGGGATGCGATCTGAGCATCAGTATGTTTTACAAGCCTCCCGGGTGATTCCCAAGTGCAGGCAGCGTTGAGAATCGCCATGTTAGGAGTCCCTCCTCCTGAGCAGCAGCTCCGCCCCATACAATCAGTGGGCATCATAGTCAGGCCTGGGCCTCAAGGGAGTCTCTGCCATGTCCCTTACAGGCTGTGTGACTTTGGTAAGTCACTCAAACCTCTCCGAGCCTCTCAATCCTCTTAGAAACAACAGGGATGGGGCACCTGGGTGGCTCAGTCGTTAAGCGTCTGCCTTTGGCTTAGGTCATGATCCCAGGGTCCTGGGATCAAGCCCCACATCAGGCTCCCTGCTCTGTGGGAAGCCTGCTTCTCCCTTTCCCACCCCCAACCCCCCCCCCCGCCACTTGTGTTCCCTCTCTTGCTGTCTCTCTGTCAAAATAAATAAATAAAACCTTCAAAAAAAAAAAAAAACAGCAGGGATAATAAATATCTCTCTCTCAAGGATATTTCAAGGAGTAAGCCAGATAAGAGCAGAATAAACAGTAAGCAGACTATCACTGCCACATTTTCAGAAATCCCCTCCACAAAGAGGTCATCCTAATTTGGTGCTTCTTTAACCTTTGGGCTCTAAGTCTTGGGCCAAGGGTAAAGGCTCAACTGAAATAAACTAGGGTCATAGTAATCTTAGTAACACTGCTGAAACCCATACTTGCCACAGAGATAGTAATATAATGGTCATAATCCTAGGATCTGTAATTTTCGGGGCTCCTGGGTGGCTCAGTCAGTTGAGCAGCTGCCTTTGGCTCATGTCATGATCTCAGGGTCCTGGGATCGAGTCCTGCATGGGGCTCCCTGCTCAGTGGGGAGTCTGCTTCTCCCTCTCCCTATACCCCTTCTCCCTGCTCGTGCTCTCTCTCTCTCTCTCAAATAAATAAATAAAATCTTTAAAAAAAAGATCTGTAATTTCCGTGCTTTCTACATGGCGGATACTTTCCTGGATGCCTCATACTCATGAGCTCAGTGCATCGTAACCCTATGAGGAAGATGCTTATCCCCATTTTATAGATGAGGCAGGTGAGGCTCAAAGACCATAAGGTCCTTAAGGGCAGGGGTTACATCTATCTCGTTCACTGTTGTAGCCCCAGCACTTAACACCATTTCTGGCTCAAGAAACACAAGAATAAACTTTGGCAAGACTGCAGGTGGCATAGCCGGGGCTGAAGACCAGGTGGGCCTGAACCAAAGCCCCAGCTCCTCACTGCTATGGTCCCATGGGGACCTCCCAGGTGGGTGGGTACCTGCAAACCCTGAGCCACAGTTGGTGATGATATCAAGCAAGGCATCCGGCAGGAAGTCAGCAGCCACAAAATGCTCCACGAAAATGTCCCCTTGCCTCTTGGACAACTTGCTGCCATCCCTGTTGAGGAGCAGGGGCAGGTGGGCAAAGCGAGGTGGCTGCCAGCCCAGAGCCTGGTAGAGGAGCAGATGCTTGGAGGTGGAGACCAGCCACTCGGAGCCACGCAGCACGTGGCTGATGCCCATGTGGTGGTCGTCCACCACGCAGGCCAGGTGGTATGTGGGGAAGCCATCGCTCTTCAGGATGACCGGATCCCCCTCCACGTGCGCCACCTCATGCCGATTCCAGCCGTACACCAGGTCCTGGAAGGCTGGCGCTTCCCCCTCCAGGCGGAAGCGGATCGCAGGTTTGGGGCCTTGGGCTAGCTTCTGGGCCACCTGCCCCTGGCTCAGGTTCCGGCACCGATTGTCATACCTGTCGGAGAACAGAGCAGCATGGTAGCTAGGGGCACCAAAAACAGACGTGAGTTCTATCTTCGTCTCTGATAGTTGGATGACCTAGGTAAGTCATGTACTTTTCTAGCTCTTTTTCCAGTCTCCAACAGGGACAAGAAGAAGAGGGATATATTGGAAAACCAAGTGAGATAACAGCATGACAGACACGCCTACCTGTCAGCCCGTCCCTCTTCTTCTTCGTTAGCGAGGAAATGGCAAAATGCCGAGTCCCCGGTGTTGAATCACGGCTGGTGTAGCCGATCATGCAATCTCTTTCCCCTATGCCAGCGACTGGTCCAGGTGGGACCACTCTACTCACTGAGACTCAAAGAAAAGTCTGCTTGGGGGCAGGCAGGGCAGGGTTAGGGTCCTGGGAAAGATTTTCTCTCCAGTCGAGAGTGAAAGAGCCACAAGAGGAAAAGCCCCTTTTTTACTCCCTGCCTTCTCCTTCTGCGCTTTCCAGCTGCTGTCCTGTGAGGTCAGGACGCTTGGAGCCATTTCAGCCACTGAGGCCATTCGCAACGGATGGGGGTGGGGCAGGGGAGGCAGGGAGGAGCCAAAACAGAGCCCTGATGTCTTGAAGCTGCTGGTTTTATCCTTGAGTCTCTCACCTCCAGACTTTTTTTTTTTTTTGGTGCAAAAAGGTGGTTTTACTAAAGCATGGGGACGGGACCCATGGGCAGAAAGAGCTGCTGCCTCACCTCCAGACGTCTGCAGAGTAAGTGGTAAATGTCTGTGTGGGTTATGCCCTGGCTACTCCCAGGTATGTTCTGTGGACCCCCAGCAGCAGCCCCACCTGGGAGCCGGTCCGAAATGTGGCATCTCGGGCCGCACCCCAGACCTGGTGGATCTGAATCTGGTGTTAACTAGATCCCCAGGTGAGCCATCTGCACATGAAAGTACGAGAAGCTTTGGCTTGTCCCTTTTTTTTTTTTTTAATTCTTTATTTCTTTTAGTAAACTCTACCCCCAACATGGGGCTTAAACTCATGACCCTGAGATCAAGAGTCGCGTGCTCCATTGACTAAGCCAGCCTGGTCCCCTGGTTTGTCCCTTTTCCACAGGGCATTCCATTATTTGCTCCCCAAAGCATCCTGATACACAAATGTAAGACTTGAAAACATACTCCTTGGGCGCCTGGGTGGCTCAGTTGGTTAAGCGACTGCCTTCGGCTCAGGTCATGATCCTGGAGTCCCTGGATCGAGTCCCGCATCAGGCTCCCTGCTCGGCAGGGAGTCTGCTTCTCCCTCTGACCCTCCCCCCTCTCATGTGCTCTCTCTCATTCTCTCTCAAATAAATAAATAAAATCTTTAAAAAAAATAAAAAAAAAAGAAAACATACTCCTTAACACAGAGTTAAGTGTTCAATAAGTAAACAGCTGTGTGGATTCCACAAGAGAACTTGACCATAATTTTAAAAAAAGAACCTTCTGCCAACGGACAAGTGGACTGTTTATAATAAAAGAGCAATGCTGCAATGAATGTCATGACCTCATAGAAACATCCAGCCCTTGCCCAAACAGTTCATTTAAAGTGGAACTCCGAGCGGCACTTGGCTGGCTCAGTCGGTAGACCTTGCGACTCTTGATCTCAGGGTTGTGAGTTCAAGCCCCACATTCGGTGTGGAGCCTACCTTAAAAAAAGAAAAAGGAAGGGGGGGTGGCGCCTGGCTGGCTCAGGCAGAAGACCATCTGACTCTTGATCTCAAGGTTGTGAGTTCAAGCCCCACATTGGGTGTACAGATTATTTAAATAAACTTAAAAAAAGTTTTTAAAATTCTTTAAAAATAGGGGCTCCTGTGCGAATCAGTTGGTTAAGTGTCTCTGGATTTCGGCTCAGGTTGTGACCTCAGGGTCATGAAATTGAGCCCCACATTGGGCTCCGTGCACAGTGTGGAGCCTGTTTGAGATTCTCTCTCTCCCTTTGCCCCTCCACCCAGCCCCCCCGTGTTCACACACATGCGCCTTCTCTCAAAAAAAAATAACAAAAAAATAAAATTCTTTAAAAATAAATAAACAACTGGAACTCAGATGTCCCGATGCCACTGCTGATGGGAAGTAAGGTGGTCAAGGGCCACAGGGCAGTGTCTATCAAAGCTCCAAACTGGCCCTGGATCCCCACATCTAGAGGGTCTCCAACAAATGCCCTGCACATGTGTACAATTAGTAAACTCCGACAGGTATGATGTATGCCACCACGATCCACCCCAGCTCTTCTGTTTTAACTACAGATTAGAAATGGCAGAAAGCTTCAATAGTAAGAAACTGGTTAAGGGCTGGTACACCTGTACGGCAGAATACTGCACAAGCCAAACAAAAATCTACGGGCCAGTACAGACTGGGTCTCCTCAAGATGGTAAGTGGGAACAGTTAAGTTGCACAGTCCGCATATTGTGTGCTGCCACTGAAATCGGGGAGAAGAGAAACAATACGCATTTCTCGGGGTCTGCACCCAGTGTCTCTGGAGGAGACCTAAGAAGACTCTAACGGCATTTGTCTATGGCGAGGGAAACGGAGCGGCCAGAGTCAGGGTTAGGAAAGATCTTTGCACATATAGCTCTCTGGACCTGAAAACATTTTACTTCCTCAGAACAACCAATAACTGAAATGACACGTTAGGGCTGCCCGAGAGCCAATGTGGCAGGCAGCTCTGACATGGCCCCAGTGATCCCCGCCTCCGGGGTTTCTGCCCCCATGGCATCCCCTCCCTGGAGCATGGGCTGGACCTAGTGGCTTCTTTCTTATGAACAGAATGCAGCAGAAGTGGTGAGATGTCCCTTCCTGGATTCGGTTACGAAAAGACCCGAGCTTCTGTCTTGCTTGCTCTCTCTTGCTTTCGGTCTGGCTCACTCGCAGCGAAGCCAGCTGCTGCGCGGGGAGCTGCCCTGTGCCCAGGCCCGCATGGCAAGGAGCTCGAGTCTCCAGACAACAGCCAGTGCGGCCCAAGGTCTGCCAACAGCCTCACGAGAGAAATGGAAGAAGATCCTCCGCCAGCCAAGCCTTGAGAAAACCGCAAACCTGGCCAAAACCTTGACTGGAGCTTTGCAAGAGACCCTGAACCGAGGGAGCCAGTTAGGCTGTGCCCAGGCTCCCGACCCAGAGGCCGTGCAGGGACCACAGGCTGGGGACGATCTGTTCCGCAGCAACAGCCCAGGGACATACGCAACTTCAGGGAAGCAGCCTCGAGAGGCTGGGGCTCTCACCGGGGCGTCTGATGGTTCCTCAGGGCCTCCTTCTTCAGGAGCTCCAGCCGCTGCGGTGAGCAGAAGCAGGGGTAAGCGGCACCAGACTCCAGCAGCGCTTCCGTGGCCTGGGCGTACAGCTCGAGCCGCTGGGATTGCTGGTAGGGCCCGGCAGGACCTCCCCGGCGGGGGCTCTCGTCAGGCGGGATGCCTGCGACACAGCAAGAGACCATGATCACCAAGATGCTCGCAGCACTGGTTCCTGGGCACTGTTCTCTGTGCTGTAGGCAAACAGGAAAGCTCCTAATCCTCACAACAATCCTCAAGGTCATTACTGTTTCCATTTCCCTTGTGCAGATGAGAAATTGAGAGATAAAAGAGGCTAAGGGCTCAAGGTCGTGGGGCTGCCGCCTAAGGAGTCACGGAGGCGTGCTGCCTCCACGGTCCATGCTCCCGGCAGCACTTCCTCTCCTCCCATCCCTTCCCCGTGGAGCGGGAGAGCAGCCCAGGCCTGGAACAGCTAGCTCAGGAGAACGAGGCATGGGTCAGGGCACAGCCCGGCAGGCCCTGGCTGGACCCCTGGTCCTGTGCCTCAGAAGCTGGGACAAGGGACCCTGAAGATGTGTGAGAGTGCAGGGCCACGCACCTGCCAGGCTGCTTTTATGTTCTATGATCTCCACTAAAGCCTCAGAACTGCCCTGCCACGTAGATGCCATCCTGATGCCCTTCAGTAGGGACACTGAGGCACAGACGGGCTCTGTTCCCTCACTTGGCCAAGGACAAGGGGTGCAACTGCATGGGAACCCAGACGAGCAGGCCCCAGAATCCATGCTTTTAACCTCAGCAGCCTTCCCCGCAAAGCAGAGCGGACGGTCTACCGTGCGGAGTGGCAGCAAGAATGGGACGCGTCAGCACTTACACAACGCTCAGCCCGAGGCTCACCTGCAGAGCTGCCACGCTGTGTGCGGTGAAATGAAATGGGACCTGTTCTAAGCCACAGCCCCAACCCATCCAGTTTCCTCAGGTCACAAAGGACAGATTTAACCAATAAACACTTCCCGTAGAGAGAGAAGGGACACAGGAGAGCCGGATGGTGGTGTTTCTGCCCTCAAATGGCTTTCCAATGAGTTCGGAAAGTGAGGACATGATTAATCCTGCATACCCAACATTAACACAGATTCTGCAGGCACACAGGCCTGGGTTCAAAGACACTGGCCTGCTCTGGGGCCTTGAGCAAGTCACCCTTCAGAGCCTCCATTTCCTCGTTACGAATAATAACTCTCCTGGGCATCACCAGGTTGTTAGCACGAGCCAACACACATGAAGTGCTCAGTGCCTTGTTACCTAAGTGCTAAGCAGTCAGTCAGTTTGGGCTGTGATCATGATCATTCAGCTCCCTCTCCTGCTGGGCCTCTATTTCTTCATTTGTCAGAAAAGACAGTGACTTAAGTACATTTGGGAGTCCCTTCCTGACCTAACCTTAACATGTTTGGTACTTGGATCGCCCCAGGGCCTAAGAGTGATTCCACTAGGGGAACTGAAAATGTATGCTCATGTAAAGACTAGTACGTAAATACTCACAGCAGTTCCATTCAATGGAGTCAAAAAAGTGGGGCGCCCAGGTAGCTCGGTGACGCATTCACTCTTGATTTCGGCTCAGGTCATGATCTCAGGGTCGTGAGATGGAGCCCAGAGTCGGACTCCGTGCTCAGTGGGGAGTCTGCTTGAGATTCTCTCTCTCCCTCTGCCCATCCCCCATGCGCTCTCTCTCTAAAATAACTAAATCTTAAAAAAAAAGAGTCAAAAAAGTGGAAATAATCCCAATGCCCATCCACTGATGAACAGAAGGTGGTATTTCCATACAAGGAGTATTATTTGGTCACAAAGAGGAATGAAGGATTGACATGTGCTACAACACAGAACCCCTCCGCTAAGTAACAGCCAGTCATTAAAGGTACATGTTGTTCGAGTCCATTTATCTGAGATGTCCGCAAGCGGCAAACCGCACAGACAGAAAGTAGATTAGTGATTGCCGGGCTGGGAGGAAGCAGGAATAGGGAGTGACTGCTAATAGGTACAGGATTTTGTTTTCGGAGGATGGCAATGTTCTGAAACTGGATGGTGGTGACGGCTGGCATAACATAGTGAATATACTAAAAAAACACTGATTTGTACACTTTGAAATGGTGAATTTCATATCCGGTCAATTATATGTCAGTTACAACAACAGTAACACAGGGTGACTCCTGGAGCAGGAAGCTACAGAAGTCAGCCACCGCTCTGCCTCACCACAAGGCTGGTGGTGGGGGAGCTCTGCTGAGGGGCTGCAGGCCACACTCACGCAATCGTGCTGTACCAGGAGCTCCGAGGGTGGGACTTGTTTGTCACTGTGCCTAGTACAGTGCCTGACAGGTAGCAGGCGCTCCCTGAAATCCAAGTTCTCATCCTGGTCTGCCTGGCGCTATGTGGTTTAGCTCCGGCCAACCCGTCTTCACATCTGCAGTCCTTCTGCTTTGCTCACTGTGCTTGGGCCACGCCGGCCTCTTCGCTGTTCCTCTAACACACCCTACGCTTTCCTGCAGCAGGGCCTTCCCATCTGCTCTTCCCTCTGCTTTGAATAGTCTTCACCCGGGCAACCACGGGGCTGGCCCTTCACTGTGCAATCTCTGCTTTCAGGTCACCTCCTCCTAGAAGACCACCCTATCTGAGAGGATCCCTCCCTGCCAGTTCCTTAACTTGTCACCCTTGTCTCCACCGCACTCATCAACACTTTAACGTCACAGTGAGGATGAATTAATCTATTCATCTGTCCTCCCCTACTTATTGGGCCCTGGGTCTCTGTTCAGTGCTGGAACAGGAACTTCATTACAGTAAGTGATCTTTGTGAATGAATTCCTTTATTCAACTCATCTTTTTTTTTTTTTTTTTGAAGATTTTATTTATTTGACAGAGAGACAGTGAGAGAGGGAACACAAGCAGGGGGAGTGGGAGAGGGAGAAGCAGAGCAGGGAGCCCGATGTAGGGCTCAATCCCAGGAACCTGGGATCATGAACTGAGCTGAAGGCAGACGCTTAACGACTGAGCCACCCAGGCGACCCTTATTCAACTAATCTTAACTAAGCATCTGCTGTAACATTCTACGACAGAAGGTACAAATGAAATTGGTTTTTGTCCTTTGGGAACCCAAAGTCTCATTAATAATTTACCTGAGATTAAGATACATGTCTCATAAAAGTCTTGGTATTTTTGGTATTTTTCCTTGGCGAGCTTAACTGGTTATACCTGCCCTGACAGGTAGGCAACTGTTGACCCAGGGAGCATACACTCTTTCTTGTCTTCCTGGAGTTTAGGAGGCCTCTGGATTAAACATCCCACAAGACTGACTTTAGAGGCTGCACATATTTTGTTTGGCTCACACAATGTGGTTTTTTTTTTTAAAAAAAAATCTGGACTCAAGTTTAACAATGGGAAGTATTCATAAAAAAAAAAAACAGTAATAAAAACCTGGATTTCTGGCTCCTCTGGGAAGTAAGAAGATTGTACAAGTTGGGCCAGCACTCCCACATGGGAACAAGGGGCTGAAGCTTTCTCCTGCTCACTACAGGCCTCGCTTCTCCAGCTCCATCCTATGCTTGGCCTGAGATCCTGAGGTGAGAACAGGAACCTCAAAACAGCCTCGGAGCTTTTCCTCAGGGAGCTTCAGCATGTTTTGGGGAGGCACGTGCCACCCGAGGCAGTACAAATGTACCCATCTCTCTAGGAAGTCCTTGTTCTCCATTTTGGTCCCCATGAGGAGACCTACAGGCTCCTTTCCCTGCTCCCTCTTCCCCCTTGGAGAAGGGTCCTTCCCCAGCCTGCCTCACCTGCCCACTCCAGCATGTCTTCAATATTCTCCGCTGCCCCAGGCACAAGGCGGGTCTGATCTGTGTCCTCCAGCCTGAGGATGAAGCTCCCCTGGTGCTTCTTGGCAAAGATATAGTTGTACAAGGCAGTGCGGAGGCCGCCCAGATGCAAGAAGCCTGGGGAAAAAAGAGAACAGCTCAGACAAGACAGGGAAGATTAACTGACACGCCTCAGCCAAGAGGCAAGCAAGCCCTGCTTGTAACAGGATGTCCCACTGAGTATCAAAGCTCAAAAAACTGCTACCCCGTCCCATCTTTCTAGCCAGGACCCAGACAGACAGCCACAGAGGATGGGAGTGGTCCACTCATTTAGCCCCTCATCCCGGAAGCAGAAGACCACCCACCTCTTAGAGCGTGTAATGTTGTAAAGAAGACTCCAACTCTCCCCAGCTGCACCCATTCTTCTATTTTGAGATGTGCCTCAAAGCCAAGTTTTTTTGTTTTTTTTTCTTTTTTTTTTAAGATTTTATTTATTTGACAGAGAGACACAGCGAGAGAGGGAACACAAGCAGGGGGAGTGGGAGAGGGAGAAGCAGACCTCCCACTGAGCATGGAGCCGGATGCGGGGCTCGATCCCAGGACCCTGGGGTCATGACCTGAGCTGAAGGCAGACGTCAAAGCCAAGTTTTACCCATATGAGAACAAGCAGAGGATTATCCATGGAAGCCATATCACACGTGCACTTAGCGTGTGCAAATTCAGTGATGTGCTCGGGTAAAAAAAAAAATTACAAACTGGAGATACCATACAATTATATTTTGCATAGATTCTCCGATTTTCACCTTAAGTTCTGGCTTTGAACACCAAAAGTAATACTTGATTCCACTATATTTCTCTTCACCTGAGTTCAAACTCCTAAGATTTTACTTTTCTATCATTCCTGACTGAAAGCTTAAAATTAAGCATTTTCCCATTTCCCCTTCTCCTGTCTTCTTCGGTCCAGGCCACGGCCCTGTCTCCACGATGAGCTTCTCTGCATCTACAGAAAGAGGAGGCAGCAAAAGACATGAAAGGCAGACTCCGGCTCAACACTGATTATGTGTGACTTTCTGCTGGTTATCGCAATGCCACCACAAAACCAGTGGTCCCCAAGATGGAAGACGGGGGTCCAATAATTGAAAGCAAGACCCCTTAAATCAAATAAACCTGGATTTAAATTCTGCATCCATTTACTGGTTGCTATCCCGTGGGCACTCTACTTCACTTGTCTGAGCTTCAGTCTTCATCTGTTAGAGATTAAAAACAAAAAATGGAAACCTCCCTTACATAGTTGTTGTGAGACCTAAATGTTGATCAAAGTACAGCTTTCCATTAATTTTAGTAATTAGTGATCTCGGTTGCTTGATAATTCTTTTATCTGTCTGTAGTCAACAGCCTTTTCTGTATGGGCTTTTCCTGCAAATTAGCAAGGAAAATGAGAACTATAATAATAGAGAATATTGTTTATTAAGCTCTAGGAACACCAGACCTTGCTAAGTGCCTCAGCTGCATTAGTTCAAACCCATGAGGCAGGTACCATCACTCGACCTGACAGAGGGTAAAACTCAGAAGCTCAGAAAGGTTATGTAATTTGCCCATGTCACACAGCTGAGAAGTGGCAAAGCCAGCAATCTGGACCCAGCCAATCTCAGGCCTTGGCACCCAACTACTGAGTGCTCTGCAAAGCAAGGCGCAGACCAGTGCTGGTCTGCAAACTGTTGCCAGTTCACAACAAAGTACAGAAATTGAGAATAAATGTTTAGAAACTTAACAGCAATGTGACAGAGTAATTTTATATCTGGTGAATCTAGTAACAATAGGCTCACATTTTGTATGCTTTTAAAATTTTTCTTTTTACTAACTCATTTATGTTGACTCTATAAAAATATTGATCCACAATCAATTGGGAGTTAAAAACCAGTCCTGTCATAACGGTTTGAGAAGCCCACTCTGCATTCTACTGCCTGCCAGGAAAGATCCTGTCACTCTGTGCAGCTGGGATCCTGCCACAAAGGAAGCCTTACGTGTGGATCCTAAGGTTCAGAATGAGAGAGACAAGCTCGGTGGGGAGAGGGCAGAAGGTGGGCTCCCTGAGAAAAAAACCGGGGGAACTAGTGGGGAGGCCCCGACAAGATCTCCACTAGGGTAAACAATGAGCCCCTGCCTCCCTCTCTAACCACAGGGCCTTTGTACCTGCAATTTCCTCTGCCCAAAGGTTCCTCCTATAGGCTTAAGGGTAGTTAGCTTCTTGTGTTTTGGTTCTCAGTTCAAATGATACGTCCTCAACGAGGCCTTCTTGAGCTCCCTACCCTGCTTCGTTTCTCTCGTGGCACCTGTGACTATCTAAAAGTAGTTATTTTTACACGTTGTTTGTCGCGGTCACTGCAACGTAGGCTTCTTGAGAACAGGAGCCATACGTTCCCGATGACCACCGTATCCAATGCCTAAACAGTACGTAGTACACAGTTCGTATTCGGTACACATTTATTGAATACACGATTAAGAGACCTAAAGAGACGGTACGCAAAGAACTTCCTGGCTACGTGAATAATTTCCGCTCGTAGACCTGTTTCTGCCTCTGTAAAATGGGGTCGCGCTGCCCGCCCAGTCTGACTCCACCGGAAGGGATTCTTTCGGGAACATTCGGGGGGCGGGCACGGGACGGTGGACAGCGACCTGCAGCGTCACGTCCGCCAAGGTTACCTGTGGGACTGGGGGCGAACCGTACTCGCACCGCAGCCCCGGGATCAGTGCCCAGGCTGGCCTCGCGCGGTCCCATGGGCCGGCCCAAGGCCGCTGGGGGCCTCACCGACTGCAGCAGCCTCTTCAGGAGCACCGCCATGTGGAAGAGAAACGCACACGTGGGCTTCCTCGAGCATCACTTCCGGGGCCTCTCCCAGCCAGTCCGCTTCAGCCACAGAGAGCGCAACCCCGCCCCTTAAAGGCGCAGGCCTCCTAGCTTGCAAGCCCACGCCCCCCAGCGCGGCTGCGGCCCCACTAGGCCTCTAGGGGGCAGAGCCCTTTGAGCGGGAGATTTCCCGGACCCGCCCCCCTCGGCTCCCGAAAGCTAAAGCGTGGCAGGGGCCGGGCCGGGAAAGCGGAGGAGGCGGGTCTCCATAGAAACGTCCACCTGTTTCCGGCCAGGCTGTGCGAGATTAGGGGCTGCTGCGGGGGCCAATCTCAGCTAGGTCGCTTTTTCCCAGCGGCCTCTGCGGGAGTGGTGGGTGTTGTACACAATCATCATGGCGGCGGCCGGAGCCCCGGATGGTGAGTGTGGCGGGGGTGGCGAGTGCCCGGGTTGGGCCCAGGTGAAGCGGGCTTCGGGGAGGGATGCGGCCCGGTCTGGTGGGGAGTAGCCAGGCTCGGGAGCGGAGGTCCGGCGGCGCCCGAGCGGGGTTCGGTCCCAGGCCCAGCCTGCGGCGAGCGCCCACCCCCCCCAACCCCCTTGCAGGCATGGAGGAACCTGGCATGGACACGGAGGCCGAGACGGTGGCGACCGAGGCCCCCGCGCGGCCCCTGAACTGCGTGGAGGCCGAAACCGCGGCGGGGGCGGCGGCCGAGGACTCTTGCGCGGCACGAGGTAGCCTGCAGCCGGCGCCGGCCCAGCCCCCTGGGGACCCTGCGGCCCAGGCCTCGGTCAGCAACGGCGAGGACGCGGGCGGCGGCGCGGGCAGGGAGCTGGTGGACTTGAAGATCATCTGGAATAAGACTAAGCACGACGTGAAGTTTCCCCTGGATAGCACAGGCTCCGAACTAAAACAGAAGATTCACTCGATTACAGGTAATCGCAGTGGTACTGTCAGGGGACAAGGCAGCCTTAACCCACCCCGCCTGCCGATTCCTAGTGCTCACACTGTTAGGCACCACGCGGGCCACTCTTTGCATCCGCTCCCTCAGTGCTTGGAATAGTTCTCCGGAGTAAGTACTGGTATACCCATTATTCAGGTGGGGAAAATGAGACCCAAGATGATAGAGCTAGAAAGTGGCTGAGCCGAGATTCAGGCCCAGGTCTGACTCTTAGGCCCAGGCTTCTAATCAGTGCTGCTCCACACGTCTCTCATGAGAATCTGAAGCGCATGTTAAATTTACAGCTCCTAAGCCCTTTTCCCTGGAGAGTTTGATTCAGTGGCTCTGGAATGTGGCCAGGAATTAATTTTTAGCAAATATCTTGGGTAATTCTCATAAGAGAAATTTAGGAAACATTGCTGTTGATTATCATGCTGGCCCCTTCACAGATCCTCATATTTAATTTTTAGTCTTGTTTTGTTAACAGTAATTCACCAACTGAAATGATTTCTTTTTTAAGCTTTCTCTATGTAGCCTGTGAGCACAGGGTAAAAACAAGAACTTTATCCTTATTGGTTTCTGTATCGCTGAGGCCTGTGGATTTTCAGTATTTGCGTGATCAGAGGATTGAGGAACGACTCAGAATGAATGACAGCTAACATTATTGAACGATTACTTAATGTCAGACACTGCACTAAATGTCTGTTTCAATCCTTAAAAGAAGTCTATGCAGAAGGAAATGCTGCTGTCACAATTATAATATTTTGGAAACAGGCTCAGAGGTTGTCAGTTGCCTGAGCGCACAAAGGTGCTGGAGCAGTATTCATTTTGAGGTCTTTTGCCAAATGGCTCTTGTCCAGGTACATTTTTCATCCCTTTCTTTCACTGTCTCCTTTTCCCAAGGTCTCCCTCCTGCCATGCAGAAAGTCATGTATAAGGGACTCGTCCCTGAGGATAAGACGTTGAGAGAAATAAAAGTGGCCAGCGGAGCCAAGATCATGGTGGTTGGCTCCACGATAAATGATGTTTTAGCCGTAAACACACCCAAAGATGCTGCCCAGCAGGATGCAAAGGCCGAAGAGAATAAGAAGGAACCACTCTGCAGGCAGAAAGTGAGTCTGTCATGTGATTGGTAGTCCTGGGAAGTTTGGGGCTTTGTCCTCTGGAGCCTTGGCTGGTTATATTCTCCCTAGAATAAGCTCCTTTTCGGACAGGGCCCATGATGGAAATTTATGGCAGCAGTTGGGTGCGGCTGACTGTTGAGTGGAGGTGACAACTACCTGAGATTTGCAACTTTGTCTCATCTGGCGGGTCAGTGTGTCTCAAGTCTCTTTACTTTAGGATAAGGCCTTTGTAAAGGCAGGCTTCAGACAAGTATTGAAAGGAATCAGATGTGCGTTTCTCTTTAGTGCCAGAGAAAAATGCCACCAACAGAATGAGCCCCCTCCCCCCCCATTTTGTACAAGTGCTTACATTTGTTTTTTGGTTTGTGGCTTTCCCCAAGTCAAACCATTTCTGGATAGCCATAGAACTCCGCAGCTTTCAGAGGTTCCTCTAAAACGGACTTTTTCAGGAAGCCAAATGAAGCTGACTAGGAACATAACTACACTGCCTTTGTTTTTTGTTTTTTTTTCTTTTAGTCCATGAAATGGAGACCTGATTTTTTATATTCTGTTGCTCATTTTGGATGGAAGAGATCCAGCCTTGTCTTGTGCTCATTGTAGCGATTAAAATTCCTTTTCGTAATTAGGAAAAGTGAGAGTTATTTCACTACAGAGGGAACTGGTTGGAAGAACCATCACTTGCAACCTTACCACCCAGAGAGCCCACTCACTGTCATGGAGCCTCTTGGCCACAACTAGCAGCTTTCCAGAAAAACGGATATTCTCAACTTAACCTGTGTCCCGAGTAGCGTAGATCAATTTGGGGGTTTTTGTTTGTTGTGTTGTTTTTCTTGTTTTTTTAGTTTTGTGTTTTTAGAGTAGACCAGTTTGAACCAAGATTGATTTTAGTGACTCTAGGCACCAAGGCATATGGCTAATAGTATGAGAAAGATACAGTTTTGTGTTACAGGCCCATGACCCTCTATGTGTGCTTCCAAAACCTGACCAGGCATCAAAACTTGACCAGAATTACTGTGAATATCCATGTTTTGCTACAAAAACATTAATATGTTTGAATGACAAGGTACTGCCCCAGATCCTGCAGAGGATAACTTGTAACATGTTTTTAAACCGTATTGCTTTTATAAAGTCCGTAAGACTTGGGTTTTATAAAACTCTAAAACATCTACCCACAGGGTTTTAGATGAGGAGTTGTAAACCTATATTAATATCTAAAAGGTATTTATTTGGACCCTTTCACCCCCGAATATGGGGTCAAAATGTAACCAGTTGACTTCTTTTCCACTTACTTGTTTCCTCTGCCACATACATGAAATTGTCAAATGTGAGCATGTCAGAAGTGAGTGCGTGTTCCCACCGGTCACACCCTTGGAGCTTTATATGCTTCTTAAACATAGGTTTTGAGTTACTAATGGTAGCTTAACATCCTTAAAGCGGTTTTCCACAGTACAGGGAAGATTCTTCTAAAAGATCTTTGCGAGGTATGAGTCAAATTAAGCTGTTAATTTCTGCTGCTCTGTTTCATTGATGCTAGTTAGGAGGAGTTAACACGGCCTAATGAGAAGGACCCGTTCTCCTGGCTTTTTGTCAGCTTGCTCAGGAATCTGGGGCTGCTCCTTATCAGGACCCTTTGCTAGCAGTCTGGCAGTATTGAGTTTATCCCTGCCAGAGGGTCTCTGCCATGCCAGGGAGCGTTGGAAGTGGCTCATGACCACGTGGTGCTTCCATTTGGTGGAGTTGTTCCCTTTCACCCGCTTGCTGCGCCATAGTTTCAGCTTTACCAAATAGTGACCAGACAGTGACTATAAAGCCGTCGGTGGAGAGGAGACAAGCTCAGGCATTTGGGCTGCTCAAGATCTGTTTTAGGGAGCCATGAGCCTAATGAGAACCCTTAACAAGCTGCCTCAAACCCTGGGGGGCAGGAGCAGGATCAGAGACTTGTTAACGTCAGTCTGTAGAGGAATCGGCATTTGTCTCGGAAATACGTCTCTCGTGGCCTTTTGTGTAGCTGGGATTGAGGGTGGGGTAGTGGGGAAGATTTCTACAGTAGTCTGAGTTTCCATTTGTTGAAGAAATGCCCCTTGTAGGCAGTTAGGCTGATCATCAGCACTGTTTCTTTGGGAGTTGAAGTTGGCAGGGATGGCTGTCATTTTGTACTTACCAGGAGAACACCCTTTGCGGTTCTCTTTAGCACGATGTTTATCCCTTTCAGTGGCAGTGTTTTTTGGGGGGGGCGGTCAGAGGAGGGGATAGTTTTTGAATTAGCATCCGGAAGCCTTAGTTGCTCCAGAACTTTGATGTCTAACACAACAGCCACGCAAAGCGTAGTAAAATTCAGTAACGTTGAGAATTTAGTTCCTTAGTTATGTTAGCCACCTTTCACGTGCTTCCTAGACCCGAGGGTTTCGTGGCTATTGTCTGAGACAGCACGGATGTAGGACATGTCTAGCATCAGAGACCTCACCACCGGACAGCGCTACTCTCTCATGTCAGAGGACCTGTAATCTGTACACAATGAAAGCTTTTGACCCGAAACGTGAAGGCTTTTTTCCCTCTTTTTCAGAAAGGTAGTAACATGACTAAAATGCAGTCAGCTGTTTCATTTATTATCTCTTCTGACTTATGTTCCAGCAACACAGGAAAGTGTTGGATAAAGGAAAACCCGAAGATGTGATGCCATCTGTTAAGGGTGCCCAGGTAAGCCAGACTCCTTTGTGAGCGTTGCGAAAACGCGCCAGGCCCACCTTCTGACTTCCTGAGGTTCCTATGATCACGTCCTCACATCCTGTCCCTGGTCCTTCCTTGTGTGTCTTTGTTTCTGATGCGTGTCTCTCACTGCGCTCCCATGCCTCCAGGAGCGCCTGCCAACGGTACCCTTATCCGGCATGTACAACAAATCCGGAGGCAAAGTGAGACTCACCTTCAAGCTGGAACAAGACCAGCTGTGGATCGGCACTAAAGGTAGGCTCCTGCTCCCGGCCCTTCCCAGCTCGCTGCCTCGGGCACCCAGCAGCACTCGGGCTTGGGTGCAACTCTGCTTCTCCTGAGGTCTCTCTCTTCACTGTGCTTTGCGTGCCCCTGGCTTTTTGTCTTTGCTTTTAGATGCTCACCTTCTGTCTGGACCCTTTTCCCCTCATTCTTTTCAGTCTTATGTCAGGGCCAGTCCATCAACAGTGGCTCTTCACTTGTACCCAAAACCAGAGGTCCCAGATGTGTAGCCTGAGGGCCAGGTGTGGCCCCCAGACCAGGGTTTTTTGGATTTACCCACATTCTGTTAAAGAGATTTCACTTGATCTGATGTGGGTGTTTTTGGGCTTCTCTTGAAAAAAAAAAAAAAAATCAAAAGATGCAGGCATTCTGGACCTGCGTTCTCACATGGCAGCGATCAGCTGGAGCCAAGTAGTAGGTTCAGATGAGCCATGCCACAGTCCTCACTGTCCGTGTACCTCATATGGAGCCAGCTTTGTTCATGTAATGTCACCTGCCTGGCCCCTGGAGGTCAGAGTTTGTCCCTGTACTGGGTGCATTTTCCTAGTACCGTGGACCCGCCCCTCCCTCCCTACCTGTATGTGCTCTGCCTGCCCCCACCTACGCCTGCCTGTGCCTGGTGGGGCGGGCTTGCTGCTTGCTGTTGGCTGGGAATTGTCTCTGACTCTCTTCCCCCTCTATTCCCTCAGGTGGTTCAAAGTCTTGTCAGTTACGCTCCAGAATTATCTGTGTCCCTTTTTTTTTTTTTTTGCCACTCTGTTGTGCCATTTAAGACTCTTAGCATCTTTAAACTTGGTTTGTTAAAGCAAGTTAACCTATTTCCCTGCCCTGTGTTCTGTTGTGTCCTACCCATCTTCCTCCCTGGTTCCCATGCTCAGCTACCTTTGGCCTGGAAGAACCAAGTTCAAATGCCTAAACGTAGTGTCCAGTGTTGACCGATTTTGGACCCAGACTCCTGCCCCGCTTGCCCTGTTACACGCTGTGGGCTTCAGCTGCACTAGCCTGCAATTTCCACCGTGCTCTGCACAGCCCCACGTCTTTGCTCCTGCTGGGCCCTTACCTGGAATGCTTTCTCCCCATTCCTCATTGTTAATAAAATCTCCGGAGGCCCTACTTTAATGTCCTTTCCTAACGAAGCCTTCCCCAACGCCTCCCCCACCCTCCAAATGAATTGCTGCCGCTTCTGTTCATAGAGCGCTCCGTTTACATCCCCAGAGCACTCATTACTTTCTGACTTGTCTGTCCCCCTGTTAGATTCCCGGAGGGAACCGAACATGCCTAATTCACCTGGTTCTGGCCAGCACTGTAGGTATTCAGTGTTCGAGGTAAATGCTAAAGAGAAGTACAGGGGGTCACAGCACATGAGGTTGACTGGTTTCAGGGACAGGCCATTTGGTATGACTCCGCTTTGAGCGGGACCACAGACTTACGGGAAGTAGTGAGCGGGGCGATGGGGCATGAGGCGTTTTCTCATTCCGAATGCTGACACAGGCGTTCTTGTCTGTCGCTCTGTGCTGGTCCGTAAAGTGAACAAAGACCTGAATGCCAAAAGCACAGGAGTGTTCTCACGATTCTATGGTAACTTGTTGTATCTCCTCTCTTTCACCCTCGACTCTAACTGCATGGTCAGAGCAAGTGTTGCAGAACGTGTAAGGGCTTCCCCGGTCTTCCCACGGGCCTTCAGACCCTTTCCTGGGTCCCGCGGTCCGTGCTTGTCCACCGTGAGCTGCCCTGCCTCTGTTGGCCCCTTCCTTGGCCGCGATTTTGCGGGCGATTTTGCTTAGTTCTCCGTCGTTGCGCTGACTTGCCCAATTTCTGCCTCTTCCCCCACTTCCGCTTTCTCTTCCGGGCAGTCTACTGGAAGGCCACTGCTGAGGCGGATGCAGGACGTCACCTGCGGGCCGCGAGGCTAGGTGTGGGCTGGGGAGGCCGGTGAGGACTCCGGCTGTAAGTGCTCGTTGGTTCCTCGGGGAACGTTTCCGTGGTAGGAGACCGTGTAGGAAGCACGTCCTCACCGCAGGCCCGAAGTGGCACCTCCCGTACCTGGGGTGGAGGTGTTCTCTCAGCTCAGAGGAGTTGCTGCTTTCCCGCTTTGGCACAAAGGCAGCACTTGAAAGAATCGTGACGGGTTGGGGTTTCAGAGCTATCGAAAGTCTCCTTCCTCACCAGCCCGATGAAAGAGCACGGCCAAGAGTGCCATCTTCACGGGCGACAGGGCCGGGATTTTCGCTCTCACGCAAACCACCGTAGCGATGTGTGTCAGGCAGTGTTCTTGCTGGCCCAGGAGTCTTGTCCTCTGAGCGTCCTGAGCACCCCTCCCAGCAGGACAGCCTGTTCTGGGAGTTGGCCACCAGCCACCGGCTTCATCTTTCCGCTGGCGAGAAGCTACTGCGGGACGACCATCCCACTTGCAAGACCACTCTTTCTTGCAAGTGGTGCGTTGCATGGAGTGACACTCAGGGCTCCTACTTGCAGCTTCAGCTCTGTCCCTGGTAGCGAGAGTAAGGCCCGGCAGCGAGCAGAACCAGCTTTAGGCAGGACACGTGGATGGGCCAAGCCGGGGGGGCGGGGGTGGGGGGCATGCGCCCTGTGTGGAGGGGCGGCCAGCCTGATCAAGCTAATCGCTGTCACTCAGGAATGTGGGCCCAGGATCGAGTTTTCAAGAGAAGCCAGAAATGTATCTTTTTGTGTGAAATCTCAGGACATTTCAAGGTGGCTGGTGTTTTAAAAAGTTTCAATCTTAAAAACAGCTGCCGGTCGGGTCCTGCCTGTGGGTCACTGTTTTAGAGCCACTGAAAGTCACAGCCCGAATGGACACCTTCACATCCATTCTGCCCACCCCTCATTTTTCAGGCACCAAGGCTCATGGAATGGAAGTAAAATGTCTCCAGTCAGCAGCTAGACTAGAGCCCAGGCCTCTAAAGTCCGGGTCTGTTTGGTCAACTCATCCATTGGCAGATTCTCGCTTTTCCAGAATTTTCTTTCTGCAAAGGCTGTCCTGGGTTTTTTTCCGACTTGGCTTAACTTTGCTGAGAACTTCCCCATCCCTGCTGTGTCTGCTGCTCCCTGGGGAGGGGGGGTTCTTGTTGCGCAGGCACTGCGCCCCCTCCCGCCTTCATGCCCTGCCCTGCGGCACTGGCCTCACTTCCTGCAGGCTCCTCTCACTCCTGCCATCCCTCACTGCCTCCTCTTTCTTACCTGCCACCCTTGAACTTGCTGCAAAATGTCTTCTGACCCCCCTGTGATAAGTGATACTTTGAGGGCTGATCACAAGAGGTTGTGAATGTTTTAAGAGCACTTCCTCAGGTGTGTGTATATGGAGGGTTGGGGGACCGGGAGAGGGGAAGGTGTGGGGGAGGGCAAGTGAGGAGGAGGGTGGAAAAGAAACGAGTTGAAAGCCCCACGCACTCCCTGCCTGTGCTAGCCACAGGGGCATGCTGTTGCCTCTGCTCTTGGTCCTCTTGACTGCCACTCCCCCAGGCGCTAAAGACTTTAACCAGTGCTGGGCTCGGGCAAGAAGGCTGCAGTGGGAATCCTTGGGTGTTTATAAATTGCCAAACTTTTAAAAAAATAACACCAGGAGAGCGCTCTCTCTGCTTTCAGAGACCTTTAATATATGCCATGGCAAGTTCTGTTCCCCATTTGCTCCCAAGAAGTTCCCATCTGCCAAGCAGAGCTCTGGGTGCGCTGGTCAGACGACCCTGACCCATCATCCTTAGAGCACGTGGGAGACTTGGGATTACAGTAGATCCCAGAGCCACCAAACCTGATGAGGGACTGCTGAGTCACAGGAGTGGACAGGAGGGCCTTTGAGTAATCACTGTAATCCCTCTCAACTAGAGCGGACTGAGAAATTGCCCATGGGCTCCATTAAAAATGTGGTCAGTGAACCTATCGAAGGACATGAAGACTACCACATGATGGTAAGTAGCCCGGCGTGGTTTAGCCTCTCACTGCACTCCCGCTTCTCATCTAGCAGGGAACAGAGTTTTAACTGAGCTTTCTTAACAGACGAAGAAACTCAATATTCAGAAGACGCGTGGTTTTAAGACCCTCACGTTTTCTTCATCTCCTTAGAACTTAGTCCATGACCTATTCCTAAGTTTATTTTTGCAACGGCCACCCACCCCCCATCAGTTTAAAGGGGATATGTTTTTTATATCTTTACTTTCTTCTCATTTGTAATATTTTTGTCGTTAGATCAGGACAATAAATACAAGGAGGAGGATTGGCTTGTGGGTTTTCATTTTAACTTTTGTCCTGTGTATAAAACAAAATCTCCCACCAGCCTTGGCATTTGTGAGGACACAGGCGGTCTGCTTCTGTGGTGTGGTGGTGCTCTTCTCAGGCGCAGCCATCAGGTGGCTAAGGACACCGTGGGGAGGACGGAGTCTGTGGTCGTCATTCCACATGGAGGTTTATTCTAAAGAGAGCAGGCTGTTCTTTCCCGAGATACAATGTTTGGAGGCATTCCCCGAGTTTGTGCAGAACAAAGCCAAGAATTCAGTGATGCGGGGCACAGAGAACGTGCACTGCTCAGGCAAACCCCTGAGTTTTCCCAGCACGGTTAGGAGGGGCCCCTTTAGAAGTGAAGTTTAGTTGCCTCAACTCTGAAGTTACTCTGACAGGGGCCTGACCTGAGCCAGGAATGGGGTGGGGGCAGGACTGCCTGCCATTCTCCCTCCCGAGGAGGCAGGGTTTTTAGTGTGCAGCCAAAAGCGCTGTAGCTGTGTCAGCCCCGTTCCAGGGATGAGGAGCAGTCGGTGGCTTGACCTGTGCATCGGGGGTAAAAGGTCCCCCGCAGAGGGAGGTGTTGGAAAGTCCCAGGGAAAAGGGGGTCTGGTGTTACGGAAGTTCTCTCTGGGCAGATGGCAGGTCCCCTCTCTTGCCCTGTTGGTGTCTGTCCGCTCAGAGGCGCTGAAGCCAGGCCACGGTTAGGGTTGCAGTCCCGGGTGTCCTGGGAGTGACGATGTCACTGGGGCTGCTTGCAGGCCCTCTGGCGGCCCTCCCACCCCTCATCCTTAAAAAGGATCGCAGACGGATTTGTTCTGCCTACTCAGTTATTTTTCCCGTTTACGAAGTCGGCTTCTCGATGTTTTCAGCCAGGCCCCTTCACTCCCTTTTGAAACATTCATCTTACCCATGTTGCCTGTGGCATTCGCAGCCCCACTTTTCAAGCAGCCCGGTGAGTGGGATTCCCAGCAAGTTGAGGGGACCATTTCAGACATCCTTAAAGAAATCAGTTTGAATGGTTGATGCTTTAATATTTAGTTCAAGTGCTTGTTTCTCTATCGGGTCATTTCTGGCAGAGAGGAGTGCTGATAGTCCCTTCTCTTTACTAAAGGCCATGAAGTGGCACCTTGACCTCTGTCTAAATGAAAGTAACTTTGCTCATTTTGCAGATGCCATTTCAATAGCTAGATTAATGGTGTCATAGTTCACATCGGAGAGGGATGGCTGTGCTTGTCATTCTTAGGGAAATGTTTAAAAATGCAGAAGAGAACAGAGAAGACTGTAACAAAGCCATATATCCATTACCAAGAAATGATTGTTGTAAATATTTCGTGAATTGCTTTAAACCGTTTTTTTTTTTTAATAAAAGAAAACCTACCAACGGCGAATATGTCCCCATTGTCTTCCCCTCCCCCATTACCATGAGCATGATTTCTCATGTGGATCCTTCCCAGCTCTCTGCTTTTGTTTTCGTATAAACCCATGAACAAGATACAGTACTGTTTTGTGTTTTTTCAGTTTTCATAAATGGTATCATGGTATGTATCGTTCTGCAACCTGCTGTTTTTGGTTCGACATTGTGATCTGTCCGTATTAACTGTAGATCCAGTTCATACCTTTGAAAAATAATCCCGCATTCATACGAATAGGCCACGTCACTTTTAATTTTGCGTTTCCTTACTGATGGATATGTAGGTTGTTTCCAGGTTGTTAACCAGTTGTGACGGTGCTGCTGTGAACATTCAGATTTGTTTCTTTGTGCATGGGTGACAGTGTTTCTGGGGCAGTGGTTCTCAAACTGGTCTCTGTATCAGTAGTACCACATCGCCTGGGATCTTGTTAGAAACACAGATTCTCAGGCCCCAGACCTCCCAAATCAGACGCTCTAGGGGGTGGAGCCCAACCAGTCTGTTCTAACAAGCCTTCCAGATGGTTCTGATGCACACGCAAGTTTGGGAGCCACTGCTTTAGGGTCGGCTATGCTTAACTCTGCCACCACCCTTTTTGGGGGAAGGGGGGACAGGAGAATGCTCCCTTTGTGCACAGTGTTTCCCCCTTCCCTTCATTAATTCACTTTTCCGCCCTCCCCGTGTTTGTCGTGCTGCCTGCTCAGTCTCCCGACCTCTGAAGTACCGCTTGGTTTTCCTTTTTCCCTTCCAGGCGTTTCAGTTGGGCCCCACGGAAGCCTCTTACTACTGGGTGTACTGGGTCCCAACTCAATATGTGGATGCAATCAAAGACACTGTGCTGGGGAAGTGGCAGTATTTTTGAAAGCACTTTCACCTCTGGCCCAGGAGACTGACCCAAAGTGAAGGACATTGCTGGGAGAGGCCTGCAGCATCCCTGGATTTCAGAGTTCTGGGACTTGTTCAAAAACAAACAAAAAACCTATATCCACTCTAAGGCGATGTGGTGACTGAAGCCAGAGGTGATGTACTTTCACCATTAGCTTAATTTTAACTTAAAATCACCGGTTCCCTTTTCTGGCAGTCAGCTTCATACCATTTTTAAAGTCCGTATGGTGGAAATCAATAAATCTGAGTTCCGAGCACGTTGTGTGGAATACTCTTCAGTGCGTTTGAGAGTAGATCTACCAGTTTTGTTTAGAAAGTAATGATCAAAAGCTTGCTGGTTTCCTTTTTTTTTTTTTTTTAAGGCGATTTCAACTGAAGTATTTTCATAAATCCTCGGTTGCAAACATTTGGACTGCGTTGTGATGAATTGGGTTTTGGTTTTGTTTTTTCTCATATAAAATTGTATGCAAAATGGGGGGGGGTAGTAAGCCATATTTTTCTGTCCATGGATTCAGATTTGATTTTTTTCCCTTTTGTATGTTCTCACTTCTTAGATTTGAATTTTTGTTTTAAAAACCCAAAGATGTCAGTTCCCGGTTTTGTACCTCATCGATGCTTCCTCTCCTGGCCTCCCTCCCACCGTGTTGCTGCTTGAGAACGCACGGTGGGAGAGGAAGAGCTGTTGGGTCTAGGGCAGGGAGCTCTCGCGCCTGTTGTGCTGGGTGTCGAGCAGCAGAGTATCTCACAGTGACTCCCGTCCAAACGGCTTGCCCCTTGGGCCGCGGTCTCTGGGGAGTTCCACCTGCTGGTGTCCTGGTTGTGTGGTGCCCTCCCTGATTTGGCTCTGAGGCCTAGCCTGGCATGGGTGTGTCTGGGCTGCGCTGCCCAAAAGCCACTGCTCCCGGGCCGACAAAGGCCTCTTCAACGAGGAGCTGGATGGAAGAACGTTTCTATGGCCATATAGCCTCAGGCCCAGATCCTTCTTTCTTTTGAAATTCCGAGAAATTCTCAAGCAGTCCAACGATTATTTCAATTACTGCTTCTCCATTTGGTCCTTCTGCTCATGCATTATGTTCAAGTGTCCTTCATCCCAGGTTCAGAGATGCTGCCTTTCTCAATAAAAGATCTGTTGACCTAGTGGGTTGGCCGATGTACTTAAACATCGAAAATGGGATAAATTGCTTTCGTGATTAGCTCACCCTCTTCTGGTTTTAGCCCTTATGTTCTTGGTACACGTGAGCTTCTGTTGTCTCCTTATGGCTCGATCGACTCGGACACGAGGGCGAGTCTCTTGGTGAATGATACCCTTTGTGCTCTTTGCTGTTTCTCTGCTGGCTGTCTTTGCAATTCTCCTCTCCCTGGCTGCAGGCTCTCATAGTAAGGTTTGGCGAGAGATTTTCCAAACTTCAGACTCTGGATTCTAGGCTGTTTCCCCTCATCCTGTGAAATGTAATTAGCATGTGTTCGCCTAAGATGACTATTCCTTGTGAGCCAGTTAATGATGATACTCTACGCCCTTCCCTTCCAAGCTGTAGTTCAGGAATCCAGCCCATGTAGACAGACTCGTGCTTTTCACGGTGTAGCCCTTGCCCGGTTACGCGTCTGGGCAGGGAACTCTACTCTTGTTTTTGTGGGGGCATACGTACCTATGTGAAGTGTAGCGTCCAAGAAACCGCCTGCTTGTCACCCCTTGAAGAAGGAGCAGTCACTGCGGCTTTTCTGTCCCCGTTGGCCTGCAGTTTCTGGAGAAGAAGAGCTGCTGCGCTGCTTGTCAGAGCCCCCTCTGCAGCGGACAGGTCTGCGGAGGAAACGATGTCGTAGCAAGCAGAGGGTCCTCTTGGTCTGAACACTGCCCTTTTTGTTGGCCAGTACCCCTGTCCTGGAGACGTGTCCTGACAGTGCCACACGCCCACCTTTGTTCTCGCGAAGCAGGTGTCTCTGTCCCCAGGCTGGCCTCACAGTGCTGCTCTCAGAGGCCCTTCCCGCCGGGTCTCCTCGCTTGCCCTGTTCCGTGGCTGCCTGTGCCGTCTTGCCACCCCCCCCCACCCCCAGCCCCCTCCAGTGAGAGTGTGTGTGTCCCTGTCTGCCTGCTCCCCAAGGGCCAAACCGCTTCTCACTCAGGCTGCTGTCATTTCTAGACAGGACCAAAGCCTGCGTGAGCCTTTTTATTTTACGTAAAATGGTGCTTTTTTTCCTTACTTCAAGATACTATATGTAAATAATAATGTCAACGACATCTTTTCGTACAGAGCCGTTGGAGTATTGTTTTACAGAGCTCAGTAAATTTGCTAGAACGATCTCGAGCTCTGGCTCCTGACCCTGTCTGCATGGAGACCTTGCTGGGAGCCCTCGGGAGAGCAGAGGTGGACAGCACCAGAAGCCACTGGGAGAAATATTGGACTTAGATCCATGTCTGGGTCACAGCAGTATTCACGGTTTTTCCCTCGGTCCCGTGAGCGGTCTCTTCCTAACCTTGTTTACGGTCCAGAATGTTCTGACTAAATCTGTGTTAGCAAATTGAAGTCCTCGTCCCCCTCGGTGGCATCACAGTGTTAATTTGTCCTCAGGATTGTTTCCGTGCGGTCCCTTCGCTGGGGCCGTGCCCTCCCTCACCGTGGCAGAGGACATGCATCAGGACGAGCTGGTCCCCAGGAGGGGCTCAGCGCGCGGGGAGCCAGGCTCGTCCTCTCTTCCCTGCGGGGCGCTTCTCCACGCTTCCCGAGGGGCTGCTTCCTCCCCCAGGGTTTGTGCTGGCGGTCATCCTGCGGGGCTTTGCTCATAGACGGCAGGCCTTTCTTCCCTCCCAGAGACCACTTGGCAGAGCGATGACCAGGTCACCCCGGCCAGGCCCCAGGCCCACACAGCTCTGGTTCTGTCAGTCCCGTCCTCTGAGAAGCCGAGTCGCGAGCTGCCGGAACTCTCCGGTATGGAGTATTTTCACTGAAGCAGGGCCTTTCGCAAGTAGTGTTCGCTCTTTTTAGATGCTATTGAACTGAGCTAAGGATGTCTCTTGGACACGGTGGGGGCCAGTGAGGCCTCAGTAGGCTTCTTAGTTGCTGCTCTGTCTTACAAGGGCCAAAGAGACCAACTCTGCCACTTTGCCACGTCTCAGAAAAGTTGCCATATTTCAGCTGAAAGGGACTTGCTTTCCTTTTTTCCTTACTTTAACCATGTGCCTGGAGGAGCCATCCTGAGCTCTTGCACTTGGCCCACCCTTTCTTTGCTGGGGCAGCGAAGGGGAATGGATAGACTCCGTGTGCCAGGGCCGTGCAAGGGCAGGCTTGCTTTCCACCTCATCTTCTTATGAGGGAGACGTTTCTCTTGCTCCTTGTTGCTCTCTTCATGCCTGTTGTCTTGGAAAAGGATGGTCCCTTTGTCTGAAGGCTTTGTGAGGAAGTCCTCTCCAGGGAGGAGGGACACCTGTTTGCTAATAGGGCCGCACGGCCTCTCCGAAGTTACAGGTGGTCAGGAGCCCTCCGAAGTGCAGAATATCTGGCACCTCGACCGGCCAGGCTGGGTGGTTCTACTGCTCTCTCAATTTCTGGAAACCTCTTTCCTTTTCTTTCTTAAAGAGTTCTGCAGAATTATTTGACAATATACGTAAGTACCATGTTTTCTTGTGGTGTGCGCTCTGTCCTGGTTTCTGTTTTTAAATCAAATGCCTGTTTGGGAGGAGATGAACGTATTTAGTCTATTAGATCTGCGCTGCTGGATTTTTTTTTTTAAAGTGTAACCTTGACTAGCTGTCTTATTGTTTATCCTGTAAGATTAGTCTATCAATTAAAGTTTGATAATTAATTGCGTCTCCTTTTCCTTCCAGTTTTTCATGCGCCTGATCCGTACTGGGCATTGCCCGATATTTGGGACTGGGCCCGGGCCTGTTTTTATTGCTGCTGTGGTCTGCTATAGTACTGTTTTATGTATTTGGCTCTAAGTGTACCCAAAATTGTTCCTGTGCAAAACAGGCGATACAGCGATTTGGGTTTATTTCCTGTGTTAGCCAGAATGACCAACTGGTCGGACACACTCGGGGTAGGGCAGCCCTCCTTCCGTGCTCCGGCCTCCAGGCGTCAGGGAAGCTGCCTCCCTGTCCTTAAGCCTTCTGACTAGTGCCGTGCGTGACTTCACCTGGCCACTCAGCCTTCGAGGACGTGTTTAATAAATCACTGGGATGGAGCTACAGCTCTTGCAGCAAGCTGCGAAGACCGGGGCAGGGGGCAGGGGGGAGATCTATTTCCCAAAACAGGACAAAAACAGTCCTTGGCATGAAGAGTCATTATAGTTTGTCACAACTGGTTTTGACCCAGTACCACCCACGGGGCCCTCTCTTCTTCTCTGCCCACTTTGTAAATGTTCCTGAAGGTTCTGGTCTCCTTGCCCCTCCCCCCATCTTCCCAGTATCTCAATCCCAAAGCAATGCTGTCAGGTCCTTAAGGATCTGCTCTGTGGGAGAGAGGGGTGGACTGTGCCATGTGCTG